TTTAATCTGAATTTGCTAAAAATAGCACTTCAGAAAAAAACTTACCGTGTTTTATTTCCTCTGTTATCACTCTTGATGACAAATTAAAAATTGTACCTCTGTTGAAACAACAATATCACTTAAAAGGCTTGAAAACACGTGCGGTACAATGTAAAAGTCGAGAAAGCCTGGACAATTTAAAATATTTTACCAAATAAGAAGAATTAATTGACATAGTAAGTACTGTATTTCTTGAGCAATCATTGAAAGAACCTATTTGTTAAACATGGAATCATAGGATAGTCACAGAACGCCACCAAGTAGAAGAAATAAATTTAAAAAAAAAAGAATTTACTATCGTTATTAACCTATATAATGAAGAACACGTCTACAATAATTATAAAGATTCCCACAAACAATGAACAAGAATGTTAGCTGAAGTGCTACTATTTTTGTAGAGAACATGGACTTAACTTTGTGATGATTGTAAAGGGGAAACCCCTCTAAAGGCTGAATTAAACTGGTACGGCAAGGACATTCAGACTACATTATCATCGACGAAGACCAACATGGACAACCTAATGCGGCTATTAGTGGGGAAACAATTGTATAATAGGTACAATAAAAGCCAGATCAACTTTTAAAAAATGATAAAATATTTACAAGAAATATTGATTAGGCTATATGGAACTGTTAGGTACATTGTGAGTATTTCCATTAGTTATGTAATCTATGAGTTGACTCTTTTAAACTCATAGGAAATTATGACTTTTATTTGTTTTTAAATAAGTTATTTCTTTTTAAATAACTAAATAAGTTATTTCTTTTTAAATAACTCCTTTACTTCTTTGCAAAATTGCTCGATTTCGAGCAACATGTACACTAGTTAAGTTTTATTTTCATATCTAAATTGTAAACTGTTAGGACACCATTCATGAATATAATATTATCGTTTTAATAAAAATAAATAAAACATCATTCATGTAAACCATTATTCCAACGTAGGCTGTAATAAACGTAGGCCTAATTGTTTTAATTACGAGGTCTCTAAACTTTTATTTACGAATTTTTCACGAAACAATTCTACTACCTATATAGGCACAGTGAAATATTTTGTGCTAATAGTCTTTGGTAACAAAACAAAATGATTTTGTTCAGGGTCTTGTTTTGAGAAGTGTTCATTATCATTAAAAATGTCTGTACCTACTAATACAACATTTTATTACTTTAGATAGGCCTAACAAAACGTGCAATACAAACAAACACAACTAGTTCAGATAGCAGTACATACTATAACCCCCAAGACATGCGCCACTAGGGTGACTCATGACCGCCGGCGTGCCATATCCCCTCTACCAGAGGTTCCGGCGTTTCAAAGTCGGCTTCAGTCCGCGCACCACATTGCCACTCTATCGTATTCCTTACTCGCTGGTTCGAATCCCCAACGGAAACTTTATTTTTTTGTCAAAGAATTTTTGAATGCCATTTCTTCTTAACGGTAGGGTGAATAGGCCTATGGGTAATTGTGAACAGGGGGAATTGTGAACTAGGGCTGTAATTTCTTGGGGTATTGTTGATTTGAGTAGAAATCAATGTTTTATGTTTATTTGGTTATTCGGTTTGTTTTCTAGGCCTTTACAGGATAAAAATTCTAGAAAGTTAAGCGCCGCTTAATATTTTTTTAGGTTGAATACAAGAAGTGGCGTTTTTTGTTGACAAACAAGTTGCGTAGACCTTAAAAATTATTTTTTGTGTGAAAAAAGTAAAAGTCAGATTGACATGAAAACCAGTCATTATGAAAGAATTTCAAATGTATAATGCATCATATATCCTCATACCCTCCATGTACCGGTAAGCAATTTTCTTTTTATTTTATCAAATTTACAATTACCCTCAATACCTATTTCACTATGTGGGGGTAATTGTGAACCTAATCTTGGGGCAATATTGTGAACGCTGTTCACTTTTATCCCACCTGTAATAGAAACATAGATTAGGCCTACTTACAAGTTTCCAGGTTGTGTTCCAGTTTTTGAGATGTAGGCGGACAGGACAGTTAGTAGGCATATCTGTTAGTGATTTGATTTCTAAATAGGTTAGTTTTTAAGGTTTTTCGAGATTAACAAACATTAACAAAATTTTTTAGTACAACTAATATTTTGTATAGGCCTAGCCTAAAAGGAAAGTGCCTAATTATTTTATCCAACCAAGGTAATTTAGTTGGTATCTTTTCTAATGGTTGATTGTTATTACAGTAGGATTTCAATAATTTTAAAATACAAATTTGTGCTCTTTCGTTAATTAAAGTTAGATTATTTTGTCATTTCCCTTAACACAGAGGATACATACGCGTCCGGTAACCAGACGTGGATTAGGCGTCCGGTAGTGACGTCACCGGGTTGGGGGGTCCCAGAACGCCATTACCACAACGATACGATGTTCGGTCAGCGTTGTTCGTGGTGTAGTGGATAGAGTGCTCGGCTGATATCCTAGAGGTCCCTGGTTCCAAATCCATTGGGTCCTTTAACTTTTTGTCACAGATTTTGCTTTGAATGTAATTTCTTCTTAACTGTATATCTTTTGTTAGAATTTTTGGCATTTATAATTTTATGTTATGAAGAGAATTGAACCTTCATTTGATTTTTTAATTATCAGCAAGTTTGGTTGGTTAGGTTAGGTTATGACAGTAACTGCCGGACGCCTAATCCACGTCCGGTTACCGGACGCGTATCCTCTGCGTTCCCTTAAATTTGTACTTTACTGTATCAAATAACTACTCTATATTATTTTCTCTTGTATGAGAATGCTATTTTACCCATTAAATACATTAATTTTAATTATTCTGACCATTTTTTATTATTTTTACATTTACCTGAATTTCTAACAATTTCAAAGTACCACAGAAAAATCTCATTTGCAAGCTTATTTTTGTCACACGCCATTGAAAGTGGGGAATTTGTGAACAGTTTGAATTAGTCTTTAATCGTGCAATTCCCCTCCTATGCTGTAGTATGTAACTTAATGTTTTCTCAACTGAGTTCACATTTACCCCAAAATGTTCTAGGCAATTGTGAATGCCATCCGGGCAATTGTGAATGCTGAGTAACTCCTTAACTAAATAGGGGATGAAATCGGCTTATATGAAATATTAAGCCCAAAATATGTATAATGCTATAACACTGATCACATTTTTAAAATTGCTTACAATTTTCTTGTAAATTGCAATTAGGCTATCTGTAAAATTCGTCAATGGTGTTCACAATTACCCACGTTGACCCTACATACTTTTGTTAGAATTTTTGGCATTTATAATTTTATTTTATGAACAGAACTTAACATTCATTAGTTTTTTTTTTTCATTATCAGCAAGTTTGGTTTGTTAGGTTAGGTTATGACAGTAGGCCTAACTGCCGGATGCCAACTTCACGTCCGGTTACCGGACGCGTATCCTCTGCGTTTTTTAAATTAACTTATTGTTTGTTGATACTGAACCATGGTGGAAGGAAAATACATAGGTAGTGTGTGCTATTCCTGTCATATGCTGACGTCACCCAGATTGCATAATAAATTCACCAGATTATATGCTATATATAGGTAAGTAGCCCATATGTTTGTTTTGATTGTTTTTAAAATTTTTCTAAATGATAAAATGGTGTTTGTAATCTGAGTGACGTCAGCATATAACGGGTAAGCACACCTCTATATATTTTCCTTCCACCATGATACTGAACATTATTTATTTAGGAAAGTACCACGCAGGTTAATTCTTAAATAATTAAGAATTTGTATTGACTCTTTCTTGCCTGAGTTATGACTATAATTTATACCATTGAAAGTTTTTTTTACTTAACTTAAGTTAATTAATGTTACCATGTTTTGGGTTTATTTGTGACTTTTCTACCGTCAATACTTATGAAAAAAAAAGATATTAAGTTAGTGTCATTTATTTTTATAATGAACGCACAACTGACAGAATAACTTACTTAATGATTCTAGGCTATATAATTCCATATGAATAGTACGGTACTTAATTTGGTAAATATTTGAGGGATTGCCCATTTTTAATCAACTTTTTGAGCTGTCCAACATAAGTCTGGACCTGTCAGGGTCGGTTGACAGGGGGTCTAGGCCCTAACTGTAGGCCTAGTGTTATTGGCCTCTGGAGACACTCAAATGAAAAAGTAAATGGGTCCTAGTTCTTACCGTGCCACCTAGGGTAATAACTATTCCAAGTTAGGCTACTTCCCTAACTTACAGGGAAATGCGCCAAAAATCAAATATACTAGAGGGTATAAGTACCGGTACTTACTAAATTCTAACTCTAAGTTACTGAGGTTCAACGATGAAGGCCAATAGGTACTTCAATACTTCACTTTGAAATAGTATTTTGAGTTTAGGCTACTTTACACAGTTTGTTACGTGAGTGAAAAACTAGTTTGCACATTTTTATTCTTACAGAAGTAAAAACTTTTTTTACAAACATTTTTGAAACTGAGCAATGAGCTAGGTACTATCTCTAGCTACACAGTAACTTACTTTCCTAACACCGAGCGGGGGATGTGGATATTAGTTCGTCTGCACCCGGTGCATGTACCAACAAAATTGGGCCTTCTGCAAGAGCACAATTCTCATTTTATACTGTGCGTCTTTTCAAATGCCTAGCCTCATTTATTACATTAGCCTAAGTTTAAGGAATATAGGTATTGAAAATAACTATTCACTTAGGCCTATGCAATTAATTATGTGATAAGATGTAGTGACATAGGCTAAGCTAAACTAGGCCTAGCATAAAACCTCTTCAAGATAGGCCAAGTCTTTACCCTTTTATAAGCATAGTTAATAGTGTAACAGTCAAACGTGTAATTGGTTTTGTGACATTCTACTTCACAAACTGCAATAAAGCTTATGTGAGAATCTTGCACACAAAATAATTCTCAAGATAGCGAACGTGTTTTATGTGGAAGTCATTTATCAATAATGGTACATTTAAGGTTCTAGTTCTGAGGTAAAGATGTATTTACCTTGCAATAAATCAATAACTGCATTTCAATGCGAGGAGCCTTAACTTAATCGATGTGGAGATAAGTTGAGTGCTCAGAAGAGTCCAAGTTTTAATTCCGACACAAATACGATATTGACATTTTTCAACAACCCACAAACATAACAGAAACAGAGATCACAATAATTTTCCCTTCCACTACCACCTCCACCAACACCATCGTTCACTTCACTCACCACACACCACCAGATCCCAGAATACAGTATGGTTCACAAAGAAACTGTGAATGGAATTTTAAGACTCCATTTCATTGGTTGGTTACTGTCAAAATACATATTCAGTCCAGAGGATTGCTCTCGACAATATTTCTTTATACTGTTTTTTATACTTTTAATTAAGTTATTATTTAACCAGATTTACATAAATGCATTGGTTACGTCAATTACAGTAATACATAAAATATATACACAAAGTACCTTATCCTATGCCATAAGCTATTTACATTTCGTAGAACCAATGAATATGCACTCATTATCCCCCACTGTCCGTTAGCAATAAACTCACCATCACGGACCTGGTAGTAGTATTTCAGATAATTTTACCATAGATAAAACGTTGGTTAGTCTATGATTTTACAAAATTGCCATTTTAGTGTGTTACGTTGATAAGGGACCGTCCAAATGCTACCTTACGTGTTTTTCGAAATATTTAAATCCCTCCCTTCACCCCTCGCAGGGCCGCCCCGGGGGCGGGGCTGGGCGCCACGGCTTGCGGGGCACCACGGCTTTGGAAGATAAAGAATTTAACAATCGGTAAACCGCAAACGAATATTTAAAGGTACGTTTTGCTTGGAGCGACAGGTGCGACGGTCGTGCAGCGACGACTGTCGCCGAGCGGCAGTCGCGGGGTGGTAGACTGTTTTGCTTGGAGCGACAACTTCTTTGGCGTCACGAGACGTGTTACCGTCAGTGCACCTAACCTCAAAAGTGCGAAGTATAAAGTCACTAAATAAAATCAATAAATTAAAATTCACTTAGTAAAACAGGTAAAACTTCCCATGTTAACCTTATGAGAAATGGAATTAATGAATCTTAACAGCTGTTTCAATTAAACAAGTTGGTTCTGTTCTATGATGTTCAATAGCATTAAAGTTACAAGGATTACCAACAGGGTGCAGCACTATTATTTCTTTTACATTTATGACAACAGCTAATTTGCAACCAAAAGGTGAGTGAGCGTAGCGAACGAACTTCAACCTGGAGGCGAGTTAGCGTAGCGAACGAGCTAACCTGAAGGCAAGTGAGCGCAGCGAACGAGCTCCAACCTAAAGGTGAGTGAGCGTAGCGAACGAACTTCAACCAGGACGTGATTGAACCATGCGAACGAGATCATCTTGAAAATTAAGAAGTTAAACGGGGCAAAGCCCGCGGGTTACAGCTAGTATGATTATAAAATAATATTGCAATTTCATTCAACAGCACTTTTTTCATAATCTTTTAAATTCATTGAATAATTATTAAACTACAGATGACGACTAATAATTATTGCTTATCGGTTTCTGCAGAATCATTCTTTCCAACATGGTTGTAAATAATAACAATGTTTTGTACATAATATAAAACATAAATACACGCACTTTTATTTATTAACATGAACATAAAACGTTTATAATATAAACGTGTTTATACATATTATGTGTGCATATCAATTTTAACCGAATGGTATTCAAAGAACTAGCGTGTGTCGGGGAAAATTGCTGCCGAGGAAATGAGATTGTAAGCCTGTTTTGGTGGCACTTTTGGAATTCGGATTCAAGCTGAGTGATTGAGCGAATAAGACAATAGGGTAAGAAGAAAAGAAACAGCAATAAATAAGACCAATAAGAAAACCTCAAAATTTCAAGAACAAACTTGGCTTGTATAGAATATTTTTGTTAAAATGTGGTAGTTTTAGGAACTTTGTTTATTAAATTATTTTGGTAAATTTACGATCATGGTAAGTAATCAATTAATGTTATTCCATTGTTAAATAAATCCAATACTCATTAAACTTACTAATACAATTAGTTTTTTTTTTATTTCAAGGGTAAATTTTTGTTGTTGCAGGCCTAACTTATCTCAAGTAACTTAAGGACTTCTAGCTAGGCTATCCCCGTGGGCCCATGTAAAAATACCAAGTAGGTAGGCCTATCCTAAGCAGGGGCCTGCCAAGTTGAGTCCGCTATAGTTTTTATATGCATATAAATACACAATCAATATGGTTATTTTGATACCACGGTATAAGTAACTTAATAGATAACCTAGGCCTAGACCTAGAACATTTTTGCAATTCTTCAGAGCCTTGACCCAATTCTAGGCTCGCTAGATTTATTTTACAAAAGCACTGTAGGCTACCTTAGTGAATATTTTACCCCTGGGTTATTTAGCAGCAGCTGTTAACTTACTGTAGTCGTGAGGGTAGTTTAATAATAGGCTAAGGACTAACTTATAAAAAAAAATATTTATTAATTGTCTTAGCAACTTTAACTGAGTGGTTAAGTGTTCTCCTTCAAACTTGAAAGTCGCTGGTTCGATTCCAAGCAAGATCTCAAAGTATAACTCAACCTCTGAGGTAAATAAAAGTCCCGTAGACCTAAACTCTCTCTCTTTATTTTGTGTGTTTTTACACCATTAAACTTAGGAAAAGTATTTTTTTAAATTTATCAAAGGGAACAAGCCAAACCCTGCTCTTGTTACTAAGTTAAGTGTCAACCTTTTGTTAGATAGCGTAGTTAATAATTAGGCTAATCAAACTAAAATAAAATGGCCGAACTTAAAGACAAATGGCATAGGTAGTTAATATGAGTCCATGAATTTGACCCTCTGAAAAGACTTGAAAATTCACTTCAAGCTACTCAAATCAGGTACAGCTTAAATATAGGTACTCAAATAATACGGCAAACAACATGTTTTTAAGTTAAGTTTATAACTAAGCTTACGGTGTAGTTTAAGTTAAGTTAAAAGTTTGAGGATCCCAAACATAATTTACCGACAAAAGTGCTTAGAATTTAAGTAATTTATTTTTCAGCTTATAAAATAAGTTACTGGTAAGCCATGTTTACTTTTACAGTAAATTTATGACTTGGAGATTTTAAATGGTCTGTAGACTCACAGTTTAACTTACTTTTTAACTTATGGTACCATTTATGGTTGTGTCAGTGGCCAATCAACTCAAAGCTTTTTACAGGATTTGTAAAAGACTTAGCGGGTTTGGGTTGAAGGAAAAATATCAGCACAGCTAGCTAGAGCTTGAAGATATTAACAGACCTAGGCCTACTTCAGTTCCTATAAGTATGGGCGATAACTATCTATAACATAAGTTTTTTATGTTCTTATAGATATCAGCCAATAAATCATTTAAAGAGCTCACCCGAGGTAAGGTATGGGTAAAACCGACAGATCAAATGGATTTATGGTTGGATTCTCAAGGATACTACAGGAAACACACAGCTAAAGATGGGTCATGTCTTTACCGTGCAGTGTCCGAACAGGTTGGTCTTATTACTCTTACTTGTTCGGGGGAGCGAGCTGGTCTGTTGGAGGTCCCAAACTTTTACTTGATCAAAAACGTAGGGTGTTTAAACTTAAGACAAAAATTAAGGTTATGGTAATTCATGATAGAATACCTACTGTATCATTTTCAGTATGAACAGTAGACTAAAACCACCCTAAATAAAGAAATATGAGATTAAAACGCTAGGCTATTTATTTGAAAAATCAAACGCTATCTAAATACGGTAAGGGTTAAGGGGTGGAGATTGTGAAACATTTTTTACGTTACAAAGTTTTAGCTCGTTTAAAAATATAGGACACCAAGTTATCTCAGTTTTTTTTATTTGATGAATGGTTTATCCGCCACCACAGTTAAAAAAAACACCTCTTTTTATTTAAAAAAATCCACCACCTTGAATAAATATTCTAAATCTAGTTAAGATTCATTTAACTTTATTTTAACATTTTCTGTAGCCTATTTATGTAACAAATGTGACCTTGTCTATTGTAATTTTTATATTACCAAATGACAATAAAGATTTATTATTATTATTATATTTAGATTTTTTTTATTAATATTCTTTTAGAGCTGGTGAGCCGGTGGCTTAGTCAGTAGCGTCTTGGACTCCAGGCCCAAGGCAGCGATGTCAAGGGTTCGGATCCTGGTCACTGCTGTAAACATTTCAGCACAGGTTACCTTTGTACTGTACCGGCTCACCCCTTGCTTTGCTGGATACGTTCCACATAAAGGCAGTTAGTCTATGTGGACGGGCAAATGCAAGGTTAAAAGGGGTCGCCAACCTCTTTTAAAAAAATTACAAAAAAAAAAAAATTTGTGGGTTTAAAATTTGAAAAATTTTACTTTTGGGAATTTTATGGGTGGCTTTGGAGCCTGAGGTCCTGGATTGAAATCAGAGCAATCATCATTAAATCTTTTCTATCTGATATTGCCGCGACCCTCTAGGACTGGCCTTTTAATGTGTAAATTAATAAACAGTTCTGGGCTAGAACCTAAAATAATGTAAAGTTGGGACACAAAAAAAAATTTTTTTGTTAGATGGTTGGAAACCACAAGTCTTCTAGCCAGCAGAGGATATTTGTGCATATTATATAAAGTTAAACAAATCCACTATAACCCTGCTTATACAACTTTATGATATCCAACAGGAATGCCACGCTTCTGAGAGTTCACTATTTTTTGTCCGCATAGTAAGTGCAGAGAGCTTTTCAATGAATAATTTTATGCAAAATAGTATGCATTTGATGTATTCTTCAAGTGTATTCACAGTTTCTGTCACTCTGTAAACCATTTCATTACTCTCCTGACCTCCTATGAGACCATAATACAGTTAACCTGCTCTACACTGGGCATATCATATTATTGAAAATGTAATATTGTTACTTTATGTGTTTAGGTATTTCTCGCCCAAGCTTTCCACCTGGATGTGCGAAGGCATTGTGCAGAGTATGCTCAGCGACATCCAGAATTGCTGGACAGTGTAAGTTGATAAGATAATATGTTACTTTAGCAGTTAGCAAGGTGTGAGTGAAGGGGAACCAACACAGACGCCAACTGTATAGCGGGTGACAAATGGTTGAAAGGTTTGTTACAAGACATGGTGCTCACTAGCTGCCCTGTACTAGAACCAGAAAAACCGGATATATACATTAGTTTTAGATATTGTGTAATTTTCAATAAAATCCACAACTAATTGCTGTTTATTCTCTTTTTGTGACGTCATATCAAGTACAAAAATTGTGATCTCAGAAAATGATTAATATATTGCAATGCTGGAGGACAGGAAATTATCACAGACAATGCTGAGATTTGGTAAATCATCACAGACGTTGACGCAAATTTATGTATTAAAACTGTTTACCTACTTTTTTAAATTCTCAGTGTTACAAATTGTTTAATAAACTAATACGGTTAACAATGATCTCTTAACCACGTTACATATTCCTTGTGCAACAATTTTTAGAGTATAAATTTGATCTTAAAACTAATAGAATCAAAAGATTTTAAATTTAATATTGTGTTTTAATTTTTTATTTTTCAAAGGAAAACATTTAATAAATAATTTAATTTCCAGCTTTAAGTTATACTATAGATAAAACATACTCCCTTAGTAGATTTCCCATCCTTATAGAACAGCTGAAGCCAATTTTACTGTTAGTTCTGTCCGGTGTACTGTGTACTGCGTGTTTTGTTTACAATTCGTTTCTTGCTATTTCAGTAATCTAAAACCTCGTTTAACCAAATAAAACTATCTAATCATAAACAATAACTTGTCCACTTGCTATATAACCAAACAGTGAGGTACAAATCATGAGAAACTAACCCTAAAATAATATAAACAAATTGTAAATAAAACACAACATCTACAGAAAACCGGACAGAATTAACAATAAAATTGGCTTCAGCTGTTCCATAAGGATGAGAAATCTTCTAAGGGAGTATGTGTATACTGGCTATGGCGGATCTATGGTTATACTGTAGGTTGTTAAGCTGCCAATAAACTAAGTAGCCTACAATATTTTCAGGTTAATTACTGTACAAAAAAGGAATATGTCGATCGCATGAAGCATCCCCACGAAGCAGGAGGCAAGCTGGAACTAGAATTGATGTCCCGAATGTACAAGTGAGTTTGAAACTTTTTCAAATGAATAAATGAGAATTTTTAAAATTGTAACTTATCAGGATTTAATTTATAATCCTTAGAAAGTCAGAAGCTACCATGCTGAGTCAGAAAATTTCAAACATGACGGTATTGCATCAACATTGCATTTTATTAATTTTTCGTCATACTGCAGCAAAAACAGCTGTTTTAACACGTTCGCTACTGCAATAGTACGAAATCTTCCATTCGCATGGACCAGCGACGCACATATGCGACGGCCGGTTTCCACCCATAGACTGCCGTCGCATATATGCGACGGCTAGTCACATTAAAATAGACTGCCGACGCATATTTGCGTCGGGGTTCTAATGTTATTAAAATGCTTATATCTTTGTAGTGGTCTATTTGAGGGCACTGAATTCCCTGCAGTGGTCTACAGAGATGTCTGACGCACAACTGCGTCGCTTGGTCTGTGGATATGATGATTGGTGACGTCATATAATAGTTGGAAAAACTGGTCTTTACTTTTCTGCATCACTGTATGTATGTATGCAGTATGTATGCTGCATTATACTATGTAGCTTTTATATTTGTTCAGTTATAAACTGTTCTTGAATAATATGTTTATTTTTTTACTTACTTTCACCTTCAAACACAAAAAAATGAACTGTCGCATATATGCGACGTTTAGTCTATTTCAAGAAAACTATGATAATTTTCACTATTGTCTTCGCTGTAGACCGGGCGTCGCAAATATGCGACATTACAAAAGGTTATAAAAAATACAAAAAACCAAGAATAATTTATTTACAAACACGATTGTAGCGTATTACAATGTAAATGATCACTGTTTTACAGGTTTTCGCCCGTGGTCTGTGTGTACTGTTATCCAAGTGACAGCCGGTCTATGTGTAAGATTCAAATGTATACCTCGGTCTGTGGCAATGACCGCGGCGTCGCATATATGCGACGCTCAGTAGCGAACGTGTTAAATGCATGGGTTGCGGATCTAAAGTAGCATTTTTACTGTATAGGGAGTAAAAAGCGTTTTTAGCCCCTAGGGAGTCAAAATTAGCTGTTGTCATGTCAGTTGTAGATTTTTATTTTAAACAATTGAATGTATCAAAAGTATGAATCGATTGCATCTCGTTGTCTTATCGTAAATAGTTCGACAGTGTGTACACTAACTGTACACAGTTGCACACGGACAGCGCAAGGCATCAAAGGTACAAATTCACAGCCAAAACGAGTTGACATATCCATTTTATTTTAAATTCCAACATACAAATACATTTTCTCCAAAAACAAACAGCTATTTTTTATCTTTTTTTTATTTTAAAAATTAAAAGATTTTTCTTTTTTAATTTTAAACATTTGTTAATCAATTAAAAGATGTGTAGGTAGTAAATGTGTTCCTTTAAATTTCAGGAGAGACTTTTTGTTGTTCAATGAACCTGGAAAATTGTATGAGCCAGTAACGGACCACGGTTTTGATAAGCAGATCATGCTTTGTCTGTCCCAAGAACACCACTATGACTCTGTGTATACCAAACAGTACATTTCAAATGCTGCGTTTTGCCAGTGTAAGTTGGTTTTACTTACAGTAATTAGTTATTACATCATCTAGGCCTGTGTCTCTCAACTATTTTCCTACTGAATCACTTCACAAGACAAAATTATTTTGCGTATCACTTAGTCTTGTGGAGGTAATTATAATTATGTATGGAATATATTTATTTGTTATTTATTATATTCCAGAATTAATTATATTCCATTATTAACCAACCCATGAGTTTGAGAAGGTTGTATCACAATTTCAATATCTGAGCATAGTACCATAGACAAATAGAATAAATATGGACCGTTAGCTGTGCTGCGGTTAGAATAAGTTCTGGCGTCCATTGCTAGGTTTGCAGTGTAGTTATGGTGCGCACCGCTGCAGCGTCTGCTGGTCGCATACGGCTCCTGTGCTCCTCGCCTGCAGCAGTGTGCACGGCACTCCTAGCGGTGGGCGCCAGAACCTTCCTTTGACAGTCTATATTTATTCTATTTGTCTATGATAGTACCGAGTGCCGGGAGCAAGAGTTTTAATTTCTCTCATATTACTTGAATGCCATTATTTCAGGTCATTTGGTAAACTAACAAAATATTCTTGTCCTTATTCCAACGTCTTGTTTAGTATACCGTACTTGTATATTTTTCAACCACAAAAATTTATTTGATTTTTTATTTGATTCATATACCTACATAGTTGGGAATGTGCAGTGATCTAATGTTGACTGACACACTACCCCAAACAATTCTGACATACTACATATAATACTCGTTGGTACTCAGAACCTCTCTATGTACTGTCATAGTGCCCTCTGTATACCACAGGCTGTGGAACACTGATCTGAGCAATAAGTCTTGTTTTCTATATTTTATACATCTCTTTATCTGTACATCTGATATGTGAAGTGCTCTATTTGCATACACATTTTTATTTTCCTAGGTCAAATTGCTCTGTTTAACACATTCACACCTGTATATTTCAGCTCTGATTTATGAAACCCTGTACAAAAAAGTGTTCCAACTGGAAGAAGTGGACTACGCTGTCAAAAAGATGCTGCATGACAAGACGTCCAAATATCAAAGAGATCCGAGCTCGTTCTTTATGAATGGGTGAGTTTCCACAGACCCAAAAGTAATGTGTAGGTACCAGCGAACACATAACAAAATAGAAGCGCTACTCGGAGCGCAGGAGCGTGGCAGTCTGACTAGCCGACGAAACGGACAAAGATGGCGGTGCTAGCCTAGTCCCGGCATCTGCAACGCGCTGGTCGTCTGTTATGCTTCGAGTCAGGGTTGTTTACATAGGCTTTGTTTAGATGTAAAAATACTTTTGTATAAAAACTACTTAGGTTTTTCTGGAGTATTAGTATATTGTTGGAAATATCTTAAAGTAAATCAATCGTTTTACTTTATTATTGCCGACATAAAATTTGTCTAATGAAAACCTTTACCCTTAAGTTCCTATAATGAATTATTCCTAACTGATTAGACAAGCACAAATTCGTTTAATCAGAGTTTACTTGGCTATTTCCAAAGTAATGGTTTAAGAATCGATAAGGTTGATGTTAGCCTCCGGATTACCAATAAACACAAACATAATTACTCTATTTTATTGATAAATTAAAATAACAATAACCAGCATGTACTCTGGACGGATAAAAAAAAAAGAGTAAACTATAATAGAATTTAAAACTGGTCTTAATTTAAGTAGTGTTACACGTTACGAAGTATATTATTTATAAAAAAATAATTGAATAATTTATGAAGAAAATAATAATAATTCTTTTGAGTCTAGAATCAAATAAGAGATTTATAAATCTTAAGTTATTGTCATTCTTTCTGTACTATAGCTTGAAATACATTTGAGGTAAGTAACCTGCCTGCTCTACTGGCCTCACTTAAACGCGGCTTCAGGATGTGTATTGATCACTCAGGGGTTGATTTTTAAAATGTCGATTACACAGTAAAAATTTGTGCTTTTTCTCATTTGTATTAGAACAATTACACAATCTGCCTCATTGTTAATTGAGGAAGAAACCACGAATTTATTACTGGCAAAGGTGAACGTAATACCTGTTGTAAATTGTAATCGTAGGCATATGATACAAACTATTCGACCTATTGTTTGGTCCAAAACATAAAAAGTCAATACTCGGAAATTGTAAATGAATTAGGAGTGAACATTGTAAAGGGATGTCCCGTTAATCCTTATGTTACTCCGAATGGATTTCATTTGCAATTTCTTAGTTTTCCCTTTTACGACATCCCATTCAAGTTTTTGGGGTGTCGGGTCACTCGGGTTAGTTCACCCGAGTTATTGACCTTTAATTTCAACTTAAATATTGTTTTGATTTTACGTGGCAATCGCAAAAGAGAAATTCTTTAACACACACAAAAGTAGGGTACTACTAATGATTAAACTATTTTTCGGAAATTAGTTCGGAAAATATGGGACAAATTCAGTTTGAGAACACATAAACAAAAAATACTTGTACTTAAGGTAACGCTGTTATACTGAAGAGTTGGTGCGATGGCGATAACCCACATCCTGTTGAGAACTAGTCAAGTGATTGTTCTTTTACAAAAATAGTACACATTTCTCAGGATATGAAATAGACAACAATCATTTTTGTTTAGTAATTAAAATGATTGCTCAAATATATTACAATGTTAGAGTTCGCTACTATTATAAAATAAGTAACGAAAGTCTTTACAAAAATAAAGTCAGGCAACATCTCAATAAAACTGTAATTTTTCTGGGACAATAAATTGAGTGTAGTTTTACAAATAATTTGGGAAGTTTTATTTAACTTACATAATTATCTTTAGTTTATCTTGGATGATATTGAAAGCAAATTAGTCCTTAAAACGCTGTGCTTAACGGTTGAAAATTCTTCATAGACAATATATTTGAAAATGTCTTTAAATATACAATATTACAGTACAACAGTATAAATAAAACATTAAAACACTGCACGCTAAATTTATAGACGACGGCGGGGCAGCGGGCGTGGCGCGGAGCAGCGGCAACGGCCCTCTTGTACCTGATATTTTTAGACAACCACGCACGATAAAATTTTTTGGTGAATCGGATAGTTAAATTTGGTTATTTATCCACAACTTTCCCGCTGACGAAATTACTCTGACCAAAAAATAAAAAAATTCCTCGCAATCGCAATACAACTTTTTCATGTCTGAATGTGAAAAATTAAAGTACATAAGTAATACAAATATTTATAAATCAATTACTATCATAACTAATAATTTTATATTAACACCATCGTTATCCTCAGTATCAGATCTACAAGTGTGCAAAATTTCAGCAATTTTTTTCAACTATTAATGTTGTATGATCGTGTATTTGTCGCGGGGTTTTTAATGCGAACTGTGCTCGCGGGTCTAAGATTCAGGCTGTATGACGGACCAAGATGGCGGATTTGGCCACACTTTCAGTGCATTTGGTTAAACGCCGTGTCCTCTCTATTATTATTATTATTATGTGCTCGCTGGTAGGTACTACTACTTGTTGACTGGTTGTGTACTATACTGAATGAGAGGTGATTGTTGTATGGATTGAGAAAAAAAGTATAGCTGTGGTAGAACTGACTATTCATAATGCTTTGACTATTTTTCAAGTTTAATTTAATTGTGTTTGGTTTGTTTTAGGTTGGACCTGAGGCTCGAAATTAGAGATAGTTATTCAAACGTCAAAAACCTTCTTAACTTGGGTGTCACCCCGTTTCCATACAAGGTGGCCAAATCTCTGGATCCAGATATATATAGAAATGTCGAGTATGACACTTGGAATGAAATAAGACGAGGTTTGTATTCGATTTTAAATTTTACGTTTATTCCCTGGGGAATTGAATACACTTTATACAAGGCTTGGGAAGAACATCGGTTCTTTGTTTTCTTGATTAATAAATCCTTACGATTTCCATTCATCGGCTTATTGTAAATAATGGCAATGGAGAGCAGTCAGGTGCTTTTGGGGAACGTAGCCCAGGTTGCACAGCAGATTTCAAAGCTTTAGAATATTTTTAACGCTTCCATTTTTATATGTTAAATTTAAATGGCTTATTAAACGTCAAAGGGAAATCCCATATTTCATATTCATATTGATTAGTACAGTCAACAATCTGACTTGCTAATTACACAAGATATAGCCATCATCTCAACTCACAAGTACACACAATAGCTACAAATATCTTAGTAACATTTTTTTAAATAAATTACCCCCTTCTATTGTAACAATTCCTATGAAAAAAATCAAAACTATCCTAGATTCATAGGACGGTTATTAGCGTAAATTAGTTCTTGTCCTTAATACTTAAATACTTTTTTTTATGAAATAGCGACCATACAAATGTAGGTATTTTAAGCCAAGTATGAATGGAGATGAGTGTAGGAATGGCGCGATCTTGTAGTCTTGTTAGTGACTAAGGCCGACATGTTTCTTAGACCCAGCTGTTAATTAGTAGCCCATACAACTAATGGCAACTAATGGACCTACAGTTTATAGTGGAATCTGAACCACACGTTTGCCTTATAATGAACCAATTGGTCTAAATATCAGGATAATACTGCGGATAGTCATAGTGCTCACTAGTGCGGACGTTAATCCACACTTGTAAATATCATATTCTCAGTTCATGCCTACAAATATCCACAATTCGTGACTTCCGAGTAGCTGGATTACAGAATGACGCCGTCCCAGTCATCTTAGTGGTAATAGATAAGTTTTTAAGTAAAGGAAGATAGAGATTATTGTGTGTACACTTCTGTAAATCTACATATTAACAATCATCTCTTCGTTAAATGTTCGTGTTTTAGATAGGTACGTATAAGATGCCACGCCATGTATAATATTTTTTACAATATCAATATTACTTTTGTAGCTAAATGATAAAGAGATTTTTATTTTGAATAATCTTAAAATCTGGAAATCTAAGATTGTGATTGGCTTGTTATTGACGTCAGGTTTACGCTACGGGATGTACATGTGGAACAACCGAGAACTCCAAGTAGGAGTGAAGTGTCTGGTCAAGTTACCCTCGGACAGAGTGTGTCACGCTCACATCCAGGACATGTCTCCCGACAAGGGTCCGGTCATCGTCTTTGTGGAGGAGCTTGGTGAAAAGTGAGTAGGCATAAGAATGTACAAGCTGTATGTTGTATTAAACTGTATCATATTAAAACTCTCACAACCGGCCTCGGATTTACCAGTCCTCAGATTGTCTGGCCACTTATCAGTAGCTAATATGAATCGTATTTCCCATACTTGTCTCCGTGACTCCAGTACATTCACGGTTTAGGTGTTTACATTTTACTGCGTTCACTACACAGTTGGGCTAGTAGGCTTAACCTCTAAACAGTTGACTGATAATTTCCAGTGCAGTTAGTACATTACAGTTATTTCGTTAAAAATTTAATAATAAAAATAAAATGTTAAAAATTTAATGGCCAAGAAAGTTCAGCAGCAAATTACGGACTTTTTCAAGGCTGGCCTAATAATCTTACAAGCCAATTTTATAAATCATGTTCAGCCTACCTATTCAACATCTGGTAATGCTACCATATTTCATTATATTTTTATGTAACAACTTTTTCCTACAAATACATTTTATATTACGTTTATAGTACGTTTTATTACGTACAAACATGTACTTTTCTTAAAAGCAATCTAAAAGCGGCAAAAAAAAGCAACTTTTTAGTAAATTTACTTATTACACATTGAGTAAAATCATTATATTTGCTGAAGGTTGGCTAATACAACCAGGGGCCTATCTGAGATTCCACTGTATTTTAAATACTGGTTATTTAGTGATACAAATTAAAATAATTACCATAATTTGTCTGTAAATCATGCTCAAACAAGGCTAAAAATAGCCTACCCGTTATTTTATATAAAAAACTGTCAGATGTTTTTGGACCATTTATTTGTAAAGTTGTAACTGATGTTATAGGATGTCCGTGTCGTATGAGAGTCTAGAGTTGTTGCCGCAGTCACCTCCATCACAACCTCTGTCTCTTCCGCTCAAACAGCTGCGGCAACTACAAACTCTGCGGGAACTGACCTCACTAGATGATCTCAAAGAGGGTGAGTTCCATAGACTGTTCATTAATTAAGATGCTTTTTCTGGAGAGCAGACTTATGTAAATGGGAAAGTCCAAACTGGCACAAGAAACACAAAACTTAACACTGTGGTACACAAAACATTATGGGTGTTTTACTTTCATTGACACCATTTTCAACGACAATGCCTGTCATTATATGTAACTACTTCCTGACCACCATTAGGCCTGAAGAATACTCATCCTTCAACCTTACTTAGTTTCAAATTGTGTCAGTTACTTAGACATTTCTAATGTTATGTGTATAGTGTGAAGTTTTGTTTGATTTTTTTTTTTTTTTTTTTTTTGGACTTTCCAATTTAGGTAAGCCTGCTAGCTTGACAAAAAAAATCCTGAAACCATTGTACTCTCTGGGTTACATCCTTATTCCGCAGTAGTTTGTTTATGCTATAAAATAAATTATTGTTGATATTTCCCATAACCTATTAGGGGTGTGGAATGGTCCTCTCCTTTGGTAACAATGACAGTAAAACCCTGTTAAGCAAAACAAAATAGGCAAGGCTGTTACGGATAACCGATTTTTTGGTTAATCAATGGTATAAATTTAAAGTGTTTTTTTCCCAAAGAGATTTATAACAGTAGTTTTGACTGTGTTGAGCTATGAGTAGTTTTGAGCTATGAAATTTGTATTACAGAGGTCTCTAAATAGACAAGTGAATACGCAAAATAAACTTCTTAAAATAATACCCAGCTAATTTTTAAATTTTATCTTTATGGCATAAGATCCGTGTCGTCTGCTCCATTACATTCCATTGGTCAGGCCAGCTGTGTACGCTACACCAGACAATTCCAGTCAAGCCAATTCTCCAATTTATTTGAATATATAGTCATGGTTTAACAGGGTTTTACTGTACTTTCATGACAATATTAGCACACAAACCCAGCCAAAGCTGGGAAAATCAGAAAATCACAAAAGAAAACTCAAGCAGAGAACTGTATCAAAGACTGAATAGTCAAAACAAGAAATCTTCTATTGTAGTTTGCAGTTCCTATTGAGATTAATTTATGATAGAAGTTCCTTGCAACTATTCTTTTATAAAATCAACAATCCACTTTTCAAGTAAAAATATTCACTTTAACTGGGTGCTGATTGGTGGAAACTGCTAGCTTTTACATTAGTGTTACTAAATAATTATATTACTTATACTGTATTGGTATTGTCAGTTTGATTTATAATGTGCAAGTAAAATAAAACGTCAACTTTTCCAAACAAGTAATTTGTAATAACTTTTTGTTGACTTATTTAGGCTGGTAAATATTTGACAGAACATGTCAAATTAGTTGGTGAAAAGTATTTTGTAAATTTTATTGGAACTGAAATTATTAATAATCAAGGTTGTAGTAAAGATTAAGCAGAAGAGAATATTTTAATGATTTGTAATAAAGTTCTATTCACATAATGTTAAAATGTGCTTGAAACAATGTGATGGTTAAAATAGTTCATTATAGTTTTAGATAATGAAGATAAAAGTAATAATGCGGACACTCCATCAAGTCATAACAGTGAAAAAGAAATGATCTGGAAAAGTGAACATGACAGAAGCGGTGCGATTGCTCCAAAGCTGAAAATGTTCAATGATCTGTCAAGTATGTATTTAGTTAAGGTTCAATAATTCAGTAGGTGTAGTAAATTTGTTCAGAATGATTTTTAGTTTTACATTTAGGAGAAATTGTCCTTACAAAATAGTATATTACGTTACTAGTCCTGAAAATAAGTGTTTACCGGACGAGTTTGGTGAACACGTTTTGGACGAGTGACGTTCGATAGTTTACGCTATACTACTAATTCCGTTCAAATCTTTATATATTACCACCAACTAAAGGACTAAAAATCACTAGTCATAACCTCTAAGAGAGGTTATGTTTTTCTTATAACCTTTCATTGCCACCCAAATACAGTATAATCAGCTGATTGGTGTCCAGTAAAACTCATTGCAGTAAAATGTTCTTCTCATGTATTCATACTTGAATTATCCTGTATTAAGAAATACTCAACTGTAAGAAATGTTTTTCAGAGTCTAATAAGAAGACTAATAGATCGTACCGAATAAAAAGCAAAGAACTTACTTACCAACCAAGTAGTGAAAGTCATAAACGACAGATGGAAGACAATGCTGTTGTATCAAGGTTTGTTAAACAATTATTGTAAACCTCCTAAATGTTGTCCAGTCTAAAAATTATTTAAAATCTAAGTAATGGAAGTTAATTAGTTAACTGTACTTTATTATTAGCTGTCAGGGTTTTTGTTAAAGAGGGTTGACATATTGAAAATAAATTAACCACCTCATTGGATTGTGTTCCCATCATATTAGTTTTTTCATCACCAAGTCCTTGAAAACTAAATAAAATATGATAAATGAACAGCTTGCCTAATGGTAGCACTACTGTATTCAATACTCACCTTAAACATTTTGACAATACAAAATAATGCACAATTCTCCTATAAGGGAGGAAGTTAAATGTAACCTTATCATGCTCTCTTTGACTTTTGAGAGGTACAATTTTAAGTGCAGTAAAGCACAACTGTACAACATAGGCTTGTAAAGTGTAAACTAAAACCTGCATACTAAATTCAATTAGGCATACATGCATTGTAATAAGTTTTAAAACTCTTTGATTGTCTTTTGATTTGGTTTCCTCAAAATGTCTTCTTCAGCCTTTTCATGGAAATGTATTAAACAATGCTTTGCACCAAGGAATCAGTGCCCTTGAAGCTGACTTTGATAACACTTTGACTGACCACAGCCTCCAGTAAGTCTAATCATTGTTGCTTCCTCGGTGAAGTCGTCTTTGACACTATAAGTAACCTCTTGTTCTATTTATTCACTAGCTAAACTGCAGAAATGAATTGGAAACCACAAAAACTAAAACACAATAGAATCACATCACAACACAAACCAAATTCCAATTGTAAAGAAATCAAGTGATGATTCGTTCGTTAGCGCACTGTCGAATTTCAAAACTGTGTTGGGCTACCGAGTGTTGGATTATTGAGTGTCGGATAAAAATGTGGTTCAGATTCCACTATAAACAGTAGGCCCCTTAGTTGCTATTGGCTGTATGGGCTATTAACTAACAGCTGTGTCTAAGGAACATGTCGGCCTTAGTCAGTTACAAGACTACAAGATCACGCTTCTCATCTCCATTCATAACTGGCATAAAATACCTTCTTTCGTATGGTCGCCGTTTCCAAGTAAAGTATTATATTATTAATGATTAATTTGCACTGTTTCAAAAAGGAATAGAGTTCAGATAGCTTACCTGAGTCCAAGGGTTAATAGATAAGCAACAGAAAAACACACAAAACATAATATGTGTTATTGCTGTTGTGCTGTGTTGTGTTGTTGTTTGTTTGGCTTCTACAGAGAGTAGGTTGAACAGAAGTGTCAATGAAATCTCAAAACTGAAGTTACCTTTTGCTGACTGTGGCCACAAAAAATAGGACTAGACACTGAGATACTATGACACAGAAATGTGCTGTAAAGAAATCTTATTTTAGAATAAAACATCGCTGATAAGTTTTGCGTTCTTTCACTGTGTGTCTATTAGCCCCTGGACTCTTGATTTCTTAGATGGGTTACCTGAACTATGTTTTGTAAAGATAAATTCTAACCAGCCAAGTAGCTTTCTTGCAAAATTTAACATAATGATTTGTTATTTTTGTTGCAGCACCTCTGACTGTAACTATTCTCCCTCGGAAATATCAGCTACACACCACCGAGAAAATGTGGAGGAATACAATCCCAACTCATTTAACTACCAGGTCAGGATCAGTTCATCTCACATTACTGAAGCTCAAAGTATATTTTGTTTAACTAAATAAACTGCTCTAAATTGCAGTTTGAGATAAGGATGTAACATGGAGCACAAGGGCATAGTTTTTTAAGATTTTTTTGTAAGGATAGAAGGCTTTAACAGTAAATAGTTACACTTTACCGATCAGTCCAGTTCAGTCTGGTCCTTCAAAATGCGGAACATTACTACAGGGAGCATTCATCCGAATTTGGCGGATGTGAGCGGAGTAGACCGGGCAAGTGTTGCCGCTCCACACATTCCAAAACTGGGTGAGGGTTGCGGATTCGGTGAGTGCTCGGCCATTTCCGACATCTCAAGATTATCTCTCTGAGAAGTGGAATCATAGAACGCATGTGGTGTGTGTCCTTCCGAATATCGTAGAATTGTAGCCTCCTCTTCCGTTTGGACTGGGCCAGACCCGACCGAATCGGACAAGTGTAGCCTGAATAAAAAAGAGTTCTGGCACAAAAAAATTTACACAATACACAAAACATTATATATTTCATTGTCACTGACAGTATTATCAGCTAAGGAATAGGGATGGACGAGATTGGATTTTTAGTTCGAGACGAGACGAGACGAGATTTTTTATTTCTCATAATATTTCGAGACGAGATCGAGACGGGATTTCCCTTCTCATACACAACGGGAAATGCACGTTCAAAATGTTTACCTGATTTTGTAACATTGTTAGATGACTGTTTAAATACAAAAATAATGATAATAGGCAAGAATATTTACAATCTTTTATTAAAAAACATCAGCATAACATTTTTTTTATTAATCACGCTTAACTTATTAAAAATGCCTACGATTAGGAAACATAGTGATATCAGTTAGGATAGAGTTCAACTTATCCTAAAATAAAATAAATCATAAAATAAAAGCAATATTAGTTTTTATAAAATAGTTACTTGTTTTGACTTTTTATAGTAATAAAACATTCCTCACACTGCTTACACTTAACAAAACTTCTCAAATGTTATTAAAGTAATATTATTAAAGTAATTTTTACATTTAAAGAATTAATTAAATAAGAACGCCTTCGCAAAGGAAACGCAACTACAACACGCTCCTGTATTGCGGGTATTGCATTGACTTTCTGCAGGCGTTTTTAATTTTTTTTTTTTTTTTTTTTTTTTTTTGTCTTGATAAAAATCTCGGCCAAAAAGAAATCTCGTCTCGTGTAACAAGATTTAAAATTTCCCGAAAATTTCCCGAAATTTCGAGACTTGACCATCCCTACAAGGAATAATTACTTTATGATTTGATGGGAAAGTCTTTGTCACAGTGACAGGGAAATATTCATATTTTTTGTGTATACAGTAAAATTGTGTGTTTCTTCTGCTTGTTTGGACTCTCTTTCCCATCCAGGCAAGCCTGCTATCCTCAACAAAAATCTTAATTTTATTTTAGTTTTCCACCTAAAACTTTTCTAAAAATACTCTCTTGAACAAACTAAAAGCATACTTACATGCCTAAAGTTAGAGTTTAGTAGTTAAGATGTCTCAACAAGATATGTCAACCAACATAATTCTTCTGTAACCTTATTAGACAAGCCTGTTATTCAAATGCCTCGCAAACTCGTAAACTTCATGTTAAAACAGCCAATACCCCTAAAACATAGCATAGCATTAAATGGCTGATAGATCACTTGACCACTGCACCAATGAGATTGTAGCTTCGCTTCAGTTGGAGTTGAAATGAATCCTTCAAACCATGAACACGGAAATTATGTGTGTGGTTCCCATTTCAGGGAATAACTTATTTTCTAGTCCACCCGCAAATTTCCAGGTTCCAAAGTTTTCTTTAACGATCTTTTAATAATTCTAGGTTATTTATTTGCTTCTTTGACCTACTTTCTTCAATTTCCTAACCCTACAAGAAACGGAAATTAAATTAAATATTCTATAAGCTTACACAAGCAGTATCTCCACTCACAGAACGGTGAGCGAGCTGATCTTGTGATAGTTCGATCCCGTGGTTCTGGGTTCAAATCCCACCAGTCACCAATGTGTGTTCAAAATCTAAGTCAAGTGATAATGCTGCAATCCTCGAGACTTAGCCTAAAGTAATGTGAACAACTATTTCCAAGTGAGAGTCCTAAGATGTAAAGTGGGACATACAAATTATCACCAGAGTCCTGATTACTTTTTTTAAAACTTTTTATCACTGTAGGCAATCGACCATCACGCCGAGAGGGAGCGTCCAGAACAAATAACTGTAGAGGCCACCAGTACTGTGGGTCCCCCCGCAATGGTGTGTATCGAGCCCCACTTCTACATGCAGCCGATGGATGGCTTTGCCCCGCCATCCACCTTCCTGGCTCCCCCCGCCTGCTACCCTCCAACTGACTTGCAACAAGTTCCCGTCTCAGGTCTGTATGTTTCATTGTGAATAGATACAAACCATGGTTATCTGCTGAGAATATTGAAACCGGAAATTTTAAATCTCTTACCTAAATGCAAAACATTTTTACTTGCCTATTTAGGGTAACAAAAAATACAGGAAATAATACAATTTTAACTATGCAATCACAACTGAAATAAATTCGACTCTAGACCCTAGTAGCTTATTTAGAAAACTACCAAAATCATGTAAGTAATTGACATAAAATAGTTGGTATTTCTAGGAAATATATTTGAAAGTACTAAATATAACATCGTGGTATTTTTTCAGATATTGCACCTCTGCGGTTTTACTACAATTATGGAATTGAAGTAAGTAGTAAAAATGCTTAAAGAAGAGCAATATTCAATATTCATTGAGCTCAAATCTTTGTGTATAAAAAAATAAAACCACAAGATAAACTTATAATTTAAATGAACTGAAAGGACAGATTTGAAGACATTTTCAAATACTACGCCAAAAAATCTGCTAAGAAGAATACTTCATTATGCTGGGAAGTGATGAAATTTTCTCAGTATGGTTGACTTGAATCTGACCCTTGTGGGATAAGAATGGTTGTTGTATTGCCAAAAACGCCACACTTTGAAAGTAATACTAAAACCAACCTACAAGTCAAACTTTTAACTGCTTTTGATCCAGCTTAATTATAAGCAATCGCGTTTAGCCAGAATGTTTAAAATACAACCCACATCCTAGATTCAATTAGGCGTAACAGTATCACATAAGTTTCAATACTTAAAGTCAAGTATCTTTAAAGTCCCATTGACAAATAATCAAAAGAAGCTAAATAAATCCTCTAGAAATTATTTTACTCATAACCACACATTGTTGCAAATCTCGATAAGAAATCATCCTTGTTAACAAGTCTGGTTTAGAAAATTTTAAATTAAACCATTATTATTGTTGCTGTATGGTCCAGAGGCCATCATGAAATTTATGAGAATCTTGCTATCGAGGTTCTACTGTACTTCTTTTACCCGCAAGACTCCTAACACAAAATTAAATTTAAGTGCTATACAGATATCCGATGACTCACCGCAGAGTCAAACTGCTGATTGTGAGTCTCGGCTTATAGATTCAACTGCTTCCCCTATATTTTACACTCGCATTAATATGTCTGACTAAATCATCTTATGGACAATGTTAATAATATTTTACTTCCTACAGCATTACTCTCAAAGAGTAAGACCGACTCCACCTTGTTACTTGAACACTGCCGTGACTTACCTTCCCGACAACTCCATGAGTCCTGCGGTGTACGATCACGGACCATCAACGCCTATCACCACTCCAGGTAAGGCTGGTAAAGGGTGGGTAGGCTAGATTATTGAGTGCGTGTGTTAAGGTGAAGATTGATGACGAAATTATAGTTTTCCTACTGATAAAGATTAGCTGTTTATTGTAGTCATTAGTGATGACCAAAACCAGAAATTTTGAGTCTCCAAAACCCAAAAAATCAAATCCTGAGTATAGAGTTTTGAGACTTAAACACAAAACTTTTTACTTGTCTTCCGGTTTTGATCATCACTAAAGATAGAAAGGAACTATTATTACAATAATATTTGGTGTTTACCATACGTTACCATAATGAATAACATAATGTTAGGTACTATCAGATCATAATGTTACCATGTTTGTAGACTCGGCTGTGGTGATGAGTCCTTCCCCAGTGTTCCGTCACCCACGTCCGGACTCGCTGCCTCTGCTGCCCATGCCTCCGGAACCAGACTCCACCACCCACCACTCGTACTACCCCTCGGCCAGCCATAACCTGGCCCCTAGGTTCAAGAACAAGCTCAGGAACATGCAAGGTGAGGATTCATCACTCCCTTACTGTATATGTTACGTAAATAAATAGTTCCTTTACTAGAGTTGACTTTCAATAATACAACATTTACAAGGCTGGGAAAGTGTCAGATAACTGAAATTATCCCTAAAAACAACCTAAAATGCATTATAAGGTAGTGACATACTGTAAAAATGTTTAGTTGTATGATTGAGATTTTGTTCAAACTTATCTGTATTTCCACTGTTTTTAAGAAAACAGGTAGTTGTAGTATAAAAATACCCCCGCCGCAGCAAACCTGCAGACTAAGCAAATTTCCATTTGACTGATTTGATTTACACTGAAATGTCTACTTAAAAATATAACATTTATTCCCGATTTAAAAAGAATTAGTTTATTTATTTTATTTATTTATTTATTTATTTATTTCAACGGACATCTCCATTTTACAGCATACAAAACAAAACAATAAACTCAGGATGACTTAAATTGATAATAACAATTTTTGTGCTTAGCAAGTAGTTTAGCAAGTACCTACTTAAGTTTGCTGCATCAGGGAGGGTAAAACTGTTTTTTTTTTTGTTTTTTTGTAAAATGTTAATAGTTAGTAAGAAATAAAAACATTTTCCAAATTTGATCAAAATATGTTCATAAACAAGCAAACTACAACAGTTTACTTATTCTCCATAAGAATAACATGGGAATTTTAAATTTACAAATTTTTGGAATTTTCTCCGTAACCATTAGGCGCATAATAACGCTTAAATATACTAAATTGTTTGTTTTTTTAAGATCTACAAAATGGTTTGGAAAGAAATTGCTAAATTTTATGTTTTTTGGGTCAAAAATGGGAAAAACCTATTTTTACCCCATAAAACCCCCCGTAAACCCCCGTTCCCATGGTCCGATCATGCTAGATCGCGAACTCGTTCGAATAAACGTAGGTTTACACGTTTGTACCAAATTTCATCAAAATCGGACCATTTTTGCTTGAGTTATCGTGCTAACGGACACATATATATATATATAAATATATATATTAAGAAAACTGTAGTGATTAGGGCTACTATTTTGATATATAAATGCATTATTAAAAACTAAGTACCCTTTTTTAAATATATATATATATATATATATATATGAATTTGAACGGATGGTGTTTTTGGCCTCTAGGGACCTCAAAACGAAAAAAAAAAATCGGTCCCGCGTCCAGGTCTTACCATGAGTACTACGGTAATAGCTTATTCCCTATATGGGAAATTTGCTAAAAACCTTAATTACTTAATTTTGATTTTGTTTTTTTATAGGAAGAGCAGGCTTACCTGTACCACGTTATAGGATTTACACATTATAGGAAACACATCATATACAAACACACACAATTGAAATATTTCCTGAGCTCTTCTGTTCACAAACAAACCTTTCAAAATTTGATTTAACATGGAGAGCTAGATGATAAATCTATAAGCTAAATACGGTTATTTGTATTTCTTTTAAGAGTTCTTTAGCGGATTGTCAGACATGATACGGATTTACTTTTTATCAAGTTCCAGAATATTATTTACATTAATAATTAATTGTACCACTATATAAACATAACCAAAATAATTATTATTTGTCATAATATTTTTAATGTTTTAAAAACAAAAAATTTAACATTTATTTCAATGCATTTTTTTTTTTTTGCTTCAGCTGGAAGACCCTGTGAGCCGCCAGTTGTCCAGCAGCCGGAAGTGTCGAGCACTACGAGTGTACCAGTCCCGGCACACTACCTGGCGCCGCCACTCTACTACCATCCGCTTGGTGTAGAGGTTGAGTCCAACTATTTGGAGTACGGCGTGTACGACCCTAACCTCATTTACTTCCCACCAGTTCAGCCCGCCGTGCCTCCGCCTCATTATTTCCACCCAGACGCTCTCTTCTATCAACACTTGATGGCTGCTCCCCTGCCTTCTGCCATCTAAGTGTTGCCACTGCTATCGTAGCAAACCCGGTGCTGATTACCTGTAAGGTATGAGTCTTGTGTCCTTAAAGTTGCCTTAGTGTTACAATTTTGATTTTCCTTTCTATGTATGTTGAGATATACAAATATGTTAAAAACACAAAATAACTAAATGTAATATAAGTATTTTTTTACCTGAGCTCAATTAGGTAGATTACTTAAATAGTTAACAGTGTGGTTTACGATTGATTTAATATATTCATGTGATCAAGTACAGTAGAACCTCAGTTCACCGTTAAATCAGTTATTTGTTACCACAAAAATGAAAAGTATTCTACAAATATAATATGTTAACATTTATATTTTTAAACTTTGATTCATTTGCACAATTTGTGACTTTCTAAAATTATCGTTTTGTTATCCTTCTATTCACTTAACCCTCATAGTTTCAGCGTTAAGGGTGACGGTTAATCGAGGTTTTGCTGTAAAATAATTAACACTTATTTTCCACACAAGTGCAATTAGAGAGATAACTACTGAACATGTGGTTGATCTTGTGATTTAAATATAAAATATTCATGATGTAATCATGTAAAAGAGTGATGTAAATACTTACACATTCTGCCATACACATTTAGTAAGTAGCTCATAGTGAATAAGTAACAACGGGTACTAAGTAATGTATGTGATAAGCTAAAGAGATTAGGTAGCTATTAGTAACGTGTGATCTCAAGCAATATAAGTGTTACTTAATGGTTGTATAGTGGAATTGGGATGGTAATATACTTACAAGTAAAAGCCCTTGCTCCATAGAGTCTTACACACTCCAACTCATAGGGGTAGAAAATCATTGTTCCCAGATTATTTATTTTTTTAATGGCTTAAAGTTAGTACAGTAAGTTTGCTTTGCGAACAGTTGTAATTTTCCATGTTCTTTGTAACATATGATGATCTCTTAAACACTGTGAAATCAAAAATTGGGTAAGGGATAGGACTTATTCTGTTTTTAAATAACTAATTCATTGCTAAAAAATCTTGATAAAAATTTCAAATTTAATTAATTAATTTTGAATAAACCTTTTCCTAATAACACAAGTAAAAGAGTTCATGTGAAAATGATAGTCAAAATATTTAAGGATACAGAATAAATTACATTAAAATAGAAGTAAAGCTTTCACAGTCAAAGTAGACATTTTAAATCGATCTTTGGGGAATTACCGTCGTTAAACTGGCAAAAATATTGGCGTTTCATATGCATTGTAGCAATCCATCTTTGGAACTAGGTTGAATTGTATCTAAAACATTAGTCAGGTTGTTTTTGCCGGTTAAACGCCACGTTTACCTTTCTAAAACCGAGTTTTGACAATATAAAAAATTTTACTATTTAACAAAGGTTCAAAAGTTTAGAGATATTTTTATATAACAGATACTCATCAATATAAAAACATTTTCCAATACAACAATGTTTAGGAATATAATTTGTTTGTTCAACCAAGATTTGAAACCATAAAGAAGAATCTTATTTTTTATACAAATTATACCCTCTTTTCCATCCCTTAACCCAGTCAAATTTAGCTCAAATACTAACAGTATTTTTCAAAATAAATCTTAAGCCTTTTTCATTCAACGAAACCCAAAAACCAAGCTAGCTCTTTAGCTTATGCCAGGTGCCACATAGTTTTGGCCAGCTTTTAAACCCACATCCTGAATTGACCCACATCCTCTATTGAATAAGTACACTGTGTCCCCCCATTCATATCAACAACGTTTTTTAAGTCTTGAATTATAAATTCTAGTTAAAATAGATCCTCAATAAGATTTTTGTTTGTATCAGATTTCTATGTTGTATAGTCTTTGCACGCCTTTATTTTTGTAAAACACTTTTGGACATTTAGAAGGTCTTTTGATTTGCATCACTAACGGTTTTGTATCGTAGATTTAAGAGTATTATGGCAGCGTCGAAATAAGACTGATTTGTAAATAAACCAATTGAAGGCATAATAATCACTCAAATAACTTGTTCAGATAAGTTTGGTGGTATAAATTTTGTCTGTAGTTTTACAGATGTAATTGATGTAGGTTTTCTGGAGTATATTTAGCTATAAACAGGATCCTTTATTTTTAGATACATAGTACGGTAAAAATATTTTTGTTACTCTTTATTAATTACTTTAATCATGTTAGCTTTATGTTTATCGATACCATGCTAATGATGGTACACAACTCTAAAAAGTAAAGATGATTTAAATTAAGTTTGATAAGTAAGATTTTGTTTGTTGTACCGGTACGTTTAAGTTTATAAGTTAGTCAAATATTATTTAGTTAAAACAATTTAAAATTGTTAAGTTTTGTTACAGTGTATTTTAGTTACCTCTTCTAGATCATTTTGTTACTACCGGTAATTTTGAATTTTATTTTCAACTCATTATCTTTGTACCTAAAGTTACTTTTGTAAGACTGATAAAGTAATACTTTAGGTAATAAGGGGATGTATAGTAATTGCACTTACTACAAATTCAAGGGTTTAAAATTTATTAATTCCCCCATGAATAGTAATAAGCTTTGTGATTGATAGTTGTAAGTTTTGCTAAGAAATATTATGAGCCAGTGTTAAGCTTTTAACACTACTCGATGTTGAGAACAATGTTTTGTTTGAGAGATAATTAAAGTTTTGTTACTTTTGATAAAAAATATTTTTCCTTTTTTACTAAACCCTACTTTTTGCAGTCATTCATTTCTCCTTAGGACCAAACGAGAGCTTATTTTGTTTGATAAAAATGTGTTATATTCTTGTACATGTTTATTCTGTCTGTAAATTATTTACAATGCATGAATTCATTGAATTGTATTGAAATTTCACTCATTCGTTGCTGATTCTCAGAAATTGTATTATGAATGTCTTTGATTGATAAATTTAATTGAATTGAAGGGAAATTTTGTTACTTTAATAACGTAAGTACATAATAAGGGACGTTCCTTCTGAGTAACAAATGAATTATTCAATTCTTTTAAAACAGTGACACACACTTTGTGCATATTTTAAACTGAAAATATAAATACAAGGTGAGTGTAGAATGAAGTGAGATGATCTGTGTAGCTTTGTTACTGACCGATCAGCTGTTTCTTAGCCAGGACCATTTATTTTAAGCCTAATGATCAAGGATCAGCTGTCCGAGAGCCTCACTGGCCTCTTCTCAACCTTACTCCAAATGATCTATGTCAAGGTCACTGCGAGGAAACTTTGTTGCTTAGAGGCGGCAGATACTTAAATACATCCCTGGATGCTAAGAGGGGTGCTCCTGGATATTAGTTTTCTTGTAACAGTTGTACCGTATTGAATAGTGAATCTGCATCCACTAATCTCCAGTACTGCACGTTTCACATGGGTTTTAAATAGGCAGTTGGAGTTTTTGGTTAATTGGTAGAAAACGACCAAAGATAGACAATGGGTTTAAATTTAAAAGCTGTTTGTTTTTTGCAAGACCTTCAAATGAACATATGTTCATGTATGTGTATGACCCATTTGACATATGTTGCCATTTAATTTTTTTTATTTACAAGGCTACCAACATAAAAAAATAAAATCATTGAACAAATATTCAGTTTTTAAAATGTTGACATGTCGCATTTAAACTCAAAGCTAAACTCACGGGGGTTAAGAATTTTCAAACAGAATAAAAATAAGTTTAATGGTTTCGAAGATACAGGGTATTCTGTAAATATCAATATTTTCCATACAAACGGCCGTTATTTTGAAACGGATAAAGATAAAGGAGTTCTGATTTCACTAAATTGTTTGCCTAGTCTAGAGCTACTGATGCATAACATGACATATGTTTACATTTGAAAACTCTGAGATTCAAACCCATGACCCCCAATTTCTCAAACACCCTGTATTTTAAGTATGGTAAAAATATTTGTATGTTGTTCCTTGGGTATAAATTAGTAGGGAATAGTTTTGTTTCATCTCTGTATGTCAAGCTGTTTGTAATCTGTTTAGGACAGCTTAGAAGACTTAACCTGTAACTTTTAACTTAACTCAGAGCAATAAAAAATTGTAAATTAATTCAAAATCACGGATTTGAAGTCACAAAGTGAAGCTGGCTGCTAGTTTATCTTACTGTAATAATTTCAAACAACAATGAGCAATGCAGGTTTTTAAAACCAAGATTAGTATGGTTTTATTATGTTTATTGATCAATAACTGTGTAGGTTCATAACATAAACAAAATAATAACATCGTATAGATATTTTATATCTACAATAGATTTTATAATTAAAGGCCCTGTCATATCACAGTATTTTTTATAAAATAGTAGTAACATTTTGAAGTAGTAAAGCAATAATAATATAAAATACATCTATAAAATTTTTGATTTAAGGACATTATATTTAAGATACCAGTTTCCTTTGACAAAAATAATCCTATTAAAGCTAATTTATTTGACTATGTTTGGCATATTTCATTAACTGCACTTATTATGACTAAAAAAACCATCATTTAGACTAAACGTATTAATCCAGTATTGCATTTGAGTATTTACCGGTTATTAAACAAGTATGTAGGATCTAACAATGACAATTACTAACTACACAGTACCTACTTTTTGCAAATTAGTCATTTAGTAGTAATACAACCCATTGATATTTCAAATTTAATATGTTTAAGCACCTATTGGTATTCTTGGGTTGAGTAAAATACTAGGAAATGTTTTTAATATATTTTGGTTCTTAAGTTTTTTTTAGTTAAAAGGCACATGCTATAGTTATCACAGCGTTGGTGCTGCATACACATCATCTACAAATTTAAAACCATATGTAGGGTGTGTAATAGTGTAAATTAATTATAAAAGAGCAATTTAGCTTGTAAATTTCTCTTGTTTTTTGTTCATACTAACACTCATAGGATTATTTCTTTAATCACAATATTTGGATCAAATTAAACAGTTTAAAAATTACTATTGAATCATGGCAGTGAGAAACTAAAAATATTGCTAGGCAAGAAACTTGTATATCTAAGATAAAATATAGCCATCACCAAATCATTAAAATAACAACGAACAATAATTCACTCAAACATTAAACACATAATTTGAGAACATGCACTGATTTAACCAGGGAAAGCAGGGAAACTTGTGAACACTTCCTCTGCATGAGTGCAAGAACTATGTACCAATAAATGCCACAGTTTTTAATTAATTGTTAAATTATATCTACATTCTAAAAACACAGTGTTTCAATTTTAAAGTTGGAAAAGGAATCAACATTTGTATGATAACAATGTAAATACAATTTTAAGACTAATTTATTCTTTGCATATTCTCTCTAAACTTGTTTGGGAGCTACCCTACAGGATGCAGAGTGTACACGGCAATCCATTTTTTCTATATAACCTTTTTAAGTATAACCTGCTGCAACTCCTACACTTAATACTTTAATACTGTTAATTGAAATGGCGACCATACGAAGGTAGGTATTTTAAGCCAAGTTTGAATGGAGATGAGTGTAGAATGAGTGGCGCGATCTTCTAGTCTTGTTCCTGAGTGGCATTGGAGAAAAAATAAAAGAAACATATAAAGAATCCAAACGTTTAAAAAAATCATAAAATACAAGGTGTTCTGTGTAAGAAAAATTGAAGTTGTCAGCCACATTGGAAAATGGTTTTCATATTGTCTAAATTTGAAACCATTCCAAAAACATCTTAAAAAGGGGTATGCCCCATAGTTAACTGTCCTTCTCATAATAATTAGTTAAGCTTTTGGCGAGACATCCTGTATATGAAATAAACAAGCAACCAACGATCCAAAGGTGATTTAAAGAAAATATAACCCCACCACTATAGATGATGAGGCCGGAAAAGAACGATGCAGACGACCACATGAATAAGGTGAAGTCGGCTGTTATATTGCTATCTCTTAACCACTTTTCATTTTCCTTTTCTCAAGTTTATTTTTTTTTGTTTTTCACATTACTTCAGGCTAGATCTAGGGGTTATTATCTCATTATTACTTAGATCAAATCCATTGGTGATTTGGTGGTATCTGCACCTGGGAAACCAGGAACCGGAGTCCCGCGCTCTAACCACTAGACCAGCTCGCTCCCCAAGTTAAATTGTTAGTCCGTCAATATAAAATAGGACAGTAAAAATATCAAATGTTTGAAAAAATCAAAACAATATAGTTACTAGGCCTATAAGTAAAAACTTTTAACAAATGTACACTACCAGGAATAGGTAAGCCTGTTTTTCTAAAACAACGGTATTTGCAAGCCAGTGAGTGAAGAGAAAAACAGTATATACCAGTGCTGTTTCCTAAAACGTGTCTATTACAAAAAAAAGTACAAACCAAAACCCTGTCTTTGTTTCCAAATAGTAAAATCATCTTTGGTGAACATGAGATGTTTTAGAGTGATTTTACAATATTCTAAGGATTCGAAGGAACCTTTCAAAATGTATTATTAACCCCCTCAGTGCTACGGCGTCGCTACAGCGACAAAGTTGTTATTGACTTCAGTGCAAGCAACTCTTTATTACCATATAGTAAACTTACAACAATGGCATGGATAATAATTTATTGGCTGGTTAAAACGTCAGTTCAGCCCGAAAGCTTCAAATTATCAATCACCGGTACATTTTGCTCTTTCACTATCACTAGCATTCACCTGTTTTACGATTTATTTTTTATTTCAATTTAGATCTACACAAAGATTGAAAGAAATGGCTGGATTTGCAATTTGCCTATTATCTTGAATACAGATTAGATGCAATTTTATTTTATCATACTGTACTTATTATAGTTGTAAATTGTCAAATGTAAATTGTCAAATGTAAATTGTTACATTTGAATTATTTAGTGTGTGAGGGTATAAATATTGTTAACAAGGTTAACAATATTCACAATACACACAAACACAATATTCAAGGTTTCTTGCACTGAAATAGATTTAAATGTAATGGAATGAATTTTACCCAGACACATTGGTTCAAATCGCCTTGGACTTTTCAGGAAGGCTGGACAAAGAGTCATTTTTTAGGGTAAAGAGCACTTAGAGGATAAATACTTAATGCTACGGGGAACGGAATTGAAAGTTGAAATTAGATTAATGTGGACAGACAAGACGATGCAAAAGAGGTATTCATTGGACGATCATAGCTTGATAGGCACACTAGGAGTTCCTTTGACACCAAGACCTGTGACCTTGAAAGAATACCCTGCAAGAGGATATTTTTCCTCCAACTCCTCTGTAAAACCCTGTTTGGCTGATGTTACATACAGATCTTCAAGATTTGGGCCTCCGAAACACACTGAAGTCACTTGGTACGAAGGAATCTGAAGGGTGAATTTCAGTTCTCCTGTGGTTGGGTCGATTCTCAAAACCTGGAAAGAAGACATTAGTTATTCTGGTTTTGATTGCTGTTGGTGTTTAGTTTATTTTTATTATTGTCACTTAGGACATCCAAAGACTCTTGGACAGTTCATCTTATTGACATTTTATTGAGCCTTAAATTTGCAGGGAGGTGATCCTGGTATGTGAGCAAAATGAAAAACAGAAGTTGGTATGTAAGTGGGTAAGTGGTTAAAGAACTCAACACATAAATCTTCGCAGACTGGTTAGGCAAGTAGATTGATTGTATGAGAATATCTTTTACAGATATTTTTTTTAGAATACAGGCTTAACTGAATGGGAAAGACTCCATTCCAGCAAAAGAATCTAAAAATATTTTACACTATTAAAATGTGTGGGTATAAAGTATTTATTATTTATGAATGGAGTATACATTATTTTGTTTTTGTGCGAGAGTGGGATCCTACCAAAACTAAAAACCTATAGGCCCCAAGATCTAAGGTACAAAGAATTGCCTTCTGGACACAGTCACTAGTTTTGAGGATGAGTGTTTTTAAATTCAATTGGTTAACGTTATGAGCTCTAACTACTGAGGATGGTTTCAAACTTGTACTGCTAAACTAGGTGTGAGGTCCTTTTAGCTGCATATCCCTCTACCCCATGGATTGGGCTGATAATGACAATTAGATTACTAAACACAAAATACTACTGACCCGAGCTCCCATAAAGCAAGCCACCCATAACATTCCTTCACTGTCTATGGTCATTCCATCAGGGAAACCATCGATGTTATTTTTCTTGAAGCAAAAAACTTGTTTTCCATTTGCTGCAACAAACAGGTGAGTGTAGATAGGAGTGAGATTATCTGTGGGTAGTTTTGTCACTGACAGAGAACAGCTGCTTCTTAGCCAGGACTATTTGTTAAAAACCCAAAGTTGAAAGATGCTGGGTCCAGTTTTGAACTAAATCAAGGAAAAAACTATATAAAACTGAACTACTGTGTTAACCCAAGGCCCCGTGCTAGAAAAACAGGCCATGCTGCAGGATCCATGACGTCACACTAGTGGATGTGGATAGATTTGTTGATAGATTCACTGCAATATCCCATATGTTTTAGGTAAATAAGCTGGTTGTTTTGTTAGTCAGATTTTAACGAAAAGATTTTAGTACAACTATATACCACTGTGACGTAATGTTGCGCTGCCCGCGCTGCAACATGCCCTGTTTTTCTAGTGGGGCCTTGGTTAACCAAAAAAAATTGATGAACATTTCAATATTAATTTAGAATACAATAACTGATCCAAAACAGTTGTTACATTCTCTGTCAGACCATAATCAGCAGCAACAAAAATAATACATAATAACAAAAATAAATAAAAAATAACAGTTTGGGTTAAACTTATAACATAAAATAATGAACCTATAACGTTAATTATTTCAAAAGTAACGGGTACCGGTACTAAATTGCAATTTTAATTGGAATAAACATATTAACAAAGTTAAGGGCAAAATGAATTCAGGAATTAGATTCGGGAAGAAGATTATCTAAATTCTGTGATTCAGAATTTATATTAAAAGTAATATTTTTTAGATTGATTCATTCACATATTTTAGGACACGGAGCAACTTTGTGTATTTTAGATCATATACAGCTTTGGTATTGTAGATTATACGCGACTTCTATTTAAGATAATGTAATTTAGAAAATGTGTGATTCTGTATTGATATGATTTGCAGTTGGACATCAACTTACAAATGGTCCCACTGGTTTCATCGTAATCATAACTGTCGATTCCATACTTTAATGAGTCTATGTAGTACATCTTCTTCTTATCCAGACTCCAGGCTAGTCCGTTAGATATTGACACATTTGACAAGTGTTTGACTACCTTCTTGTCGTGTTGTAGCAAGTAGAATGATCCTACTTCCTTTGTGTGGTCTTCTTTCTTACTGCTCATTGTTCCTGTGATAGAAAATTAATGTTTAGATAAGTTAAGTAACCATAACAAAGAACTTATAGAAATTCTGCCAGATTCAATTTCATACAAAGCTATCATAAACTCGGTAAATAATTTACTAAATATGTGGTTGTAAGAAAAGGGTTTCATTAATTATCAATACAGTTTATGTAGTGTAAAAATAGGAAACTGGACAGTGACCATGCAGACTTCATGTACTCATCTTAGAGCTCATAGAGGCTATAAATAACAAATGTTTTCATCACAGTTGACACAGTTCTACAATTTTTTTCTAACATTAAATTGAATCAATTAAAATAGCAATAAAAATATACAGTAAGACGGTTAGAGACCAACATAAAAGTTGTGGTTATGAAAATAAGGTTATAAAGGGGCAGAAAACTGTATTAGCACCAGTGAAATTTCTTATTTTTAAAGGGAAAACGTAACCATGCCAGACACAGTAAACAGTCCCTTAAGAGGGTTCCACCCACCGGCTGGTTACCGGGAAAACATCGTCCTACAAATTAGACCCTCGTGGCATTATTAAAGTGTTTATTGAGTTGAAATGAACTGTAAATATTCACCAAGATTCAAACTATGTTTTGGATGAACTCAAACTTACACATTTTCTATTTATGTATTTACAAAATAATCTTGAAATATCCGTAAATTTCAAAATTTGTCTTTTAAATATGCGATTTTAACTTTTAAATAATCGTTAAAAATTAATTTGTCTTCCTCCAATTTAAGCTCTGTTATGTTATGTTTTTGGTGTCATTGAAAAGAGCGTAACGTGAAGTTGTGCAGGAAACTTTTTTTAGGGAAATAATTAGAAAGTGAGGCCCTGGGGCCCTTTAAAGTTTCATATTCCTCCAAAAGATTAAAATGGAAGGTCATGACTGCGATGCGGAAGAAGGTCAGCCTTAAATAAAATAAATAAACGTGCCATGTTTGATTAAAATATTTCCATAAACAAGCAAACTACAACATTTTACAATATTCTCCATAAGAATAGCATGGGAATTTTAAATTTGCTATTTTTTTAAATTTTTGTAATGAACAATAACCGTACAAAAACATTTTGGTATACTAGGGCCTAAATTATTTGTTTTTTAGTACTTTAACCCTCCGAGTGTTATTTGTCGATGCATCGACACATAACACACTTTGTGTAGTGTTTTGTGTCGATGCATCGACTCACAAACACTGTTTACGGCGAAGGCTCTATGACTGACAAAATCGGATTGAACTGGATCGAGTTAGGTATCGTTTTCTTTGACAGATTCAGAGCTTTCTCCGGAGGTCTGTCTCTAAGCGCTTTTCATTTCAGTTCCGAAAATATTGTAGCAGACAGCTGACGTGCGTATTTGTAAACAGCTTGGTTAACCTCGCACCGATGACTGATGTGTTTTATTACGTTTATCATTGTTTTAGTGTTAAAAATCAAAAGTAGTGATATACGTGGTGCATTATAAGAAGATTTAAGTGATTTTGAAGGGCTGGTTGATGATCCTGAAGAAGTAGGTAGTGATATTGATGTAAATTATCAGCCAGATTCCTAGCTATGGTTAGGCTATGCATTCTTTAGCTAAACGCTATGTACTGAAATCTGTTTTTTGCCCATAACTTATTTATTTGTAAATCTACTTCCTTATATTATTATATATTTGTAATCCTCATAAAATTAAGAACAAAGTGGCTATTTTCAAATATTTATAGGCCTATAATTTATACAATTTCATTGAGCGCAAACTTATTTTTTTTTTGAAAATTTTCCAAAAATTTTTTTTTACCTAAAAATTTTTTTTTGAACAAATGTTCCTTATGTTTTATATATAATATTGAAGCCCGTGATTTTCCAAACAAAATGTTATATAGAACAGTATAATTAACATTGTTTTTAAGCTTCTCATATCCGTTTTAATAAAACCTTGCAAATGAGCTAAAAATAGGCAGACATTAAGGCCAAAACAAGGGACACTCGGAGGGTTAAATTAAAAACAGATATCATCAGAGCCAAAAACCCTCCGCATCCCATTTTAATCCCGCTCATGGTTTAAAAATCCCGTTTTCGGGATAATAATTCCAGTTATGAAAACACAACAAACATGGCTGAAAGCTGTATTATATACTTAATTACGCTTAAGTGGTTAGGCTTTGGGTTACCAGCATTGTAGTGTTACTAGTAGTTAGACAATGGGCATTCTGTGTTGAAATAAATGTATTATAAAATACAGAAAAGGACCTAAAAAATAATAAAAACAAAGAAATACAAAAATAGGCTTTAGGCTTAATGTGCTAAGTGTTTACTTAGCGTGTGTTTGTCTACTACAATCTTAGTTCACAAGAATTATTTTGGGCTCATAAATAGAAAAATATACATAATTAAATCAATAAATACTCCATGGGGCTCAAAAGGATTAATAAATAACATAAAGGGACTTAAAGACTTCACAAACAACTACGTTCCATATTAATTTTAATGAGTAAGAAAACACCAATTAGCAGCCTACCTGCCCATAGGCGATTGGAAGGATCACACTTTCCATCATTTATTCTCGTTGGATTGTCACTGCCTTCCAAATTCACAATCACTTCAGGTTTCAAAGACTTTGTGGACAAACCATCCCAATGGACAGTGGCCAAAGAGTTCTTCACAGAAATAACAAACTTAGTTTGTTCACCTTTGACTTTTACTATCAGAGAAACAGGTTGGCCCTCCGAATCTGAAAATTGGACAAGAACCATGAACCTTACATTCTTTATTTCCACCTGCAAGAAACCAGCACAACTGAGAAAACAGGAGACATTGTTAAAATATTTACTTAACATCTATTTGTTTTAACACAAAACAAACTTTTCAGAAAACCATAAGCCACACATAGTATATTTGAATGAAAGGTCTTGATAACAAATTCCCATTAAATGTTAGTTTTTGGATAAGCTCTTTCCTAAGGTTACAAAACTTAATTGAAGAGATTATATTTAATCACGTTTAAAATATTGAATCAGTATTGCAGAGTACCCGTCCTTCGTACGGGGTTGGCATATCCTTATATATAATACGTGAAGGCGATTTCTACAAAACACTACTCCTCCGTTAATAATGGGCGGATTTTTACAAACAACGTGTCAAAATAAAGTATTTTTTGTGTAGACGCCCCCTTTCACCAATTCATGTAGTAAAAATCCTCGGGCTTTGCCCCACAGGCCATCAAAGTTGGAGTTTCTCCCATAAGATTAACATGGGGGAATCTAAATATTTGATTGGAAACTTTGTCCCCACTAATTTGAGAGAACGGTTGGGCGTAGAAACTTGGTAAAGATGTCCAAAGAAAGGTCTTGGTCTGTAGATGAGTTATCAAAAGAAAAACCAAGCAAAATCCCTTAGGACTCTGCCCCAGAAGTCTTTAAAGATCCCTCCACAGAGTTGTTTACATTTTGGCCATGAGAATAATACTTTTCAATGAAACAGCTGTTCATTTTTAAATTGTATTTCAAACAACACATATTTATTGGGAGTTTAATTCTACCAAATAAGTATTTGCAATGTTATTTTCTGATTTTAAAATTGATTTTCTTCTTTATCATGCCATTTTTTGCAATATAACGTTCCATTACGAAATCAGTAGAAAATCCTTTTATCACAGCAATTCTTAAATGATTTCTTGTTGAATTGTCTTATATCTGTTGTACGGGTTGGTGTGTGCCTTTTCGCCACTTTTGCCTATATTTTATCATATTATTCTACAAAATATCAAATATTTATGTAGAAATATCTGCTCTTATTGTGTCTAATAAAATCCAAACTTAGAAACATTGCCTAAAATGGTACCTATCTTGACAAATTATTTGCACCTGCCTATATTACGGACTTTGGCGCACTGAATTAGTAACATTATTGAAAATAACACAACATTTTGGCTGTAAAATATGGTACAAAGAGAAAATACTATTTAAGCAGCTACCGTCATGACAGAAAGGTCATATTCCTTTTAAACTAGATCACATAATCCTTTGACTGGGACGGGTGGCGTCGTCCTGTAATCCAGCTACTAGGAGGTCACAAATTGTGGATATTTATAGGAATGCACTGTGGATGCGATACTCCCTGGTGTGGATTAACGTCCGCACGAGTTAGTACTACGACTACCCGCAGTGCTATCCTGATAATTATACCAATTCATAAATACCAATGCAAAAAAAATTTGGTTCCAATTCAACTACAAACTGTAGGTCCCTTGGTTGCCATTCGCCGTATGGGCTATTAATTAACAGCTGTATCTAAGGAATGTCAGCCTTAGTCACTAACAAGACTTCAAGATCGCGCCACTCATCCTACACTCATCTCCATTCATACTTGGCTTACCTACTATGAATGGTCGCCATAAAAAAACGTATTAAAGGATTAAAGTATTTATCATATACGTTGATTAACAATATGTTAACGTCAATATATACGTAACAGCCATTTTACAGTATTTTTGCTTTTTGGAAATGTTCCATTGCTATGTCATTTGCATTATTTATTGCCAATGAAGCCGCCAAGATCATATGAACTAAGGGGCCCCTAACAGTTCAAGAATAAAAGCCAACTTTACTTCATGTATTCCACTACACCTAACATTCCATAGAGAGATTATATTGACAACTTTATGTTATTGATAAGGCCGAGACAACTAACTGACATCCCCCATGTCAAGGAATTCCAGCTTTATCAGTAACCCCATAGTCAATTTCTCAAAACTATGCTAGAGGGTTCATTCGTTGGCACAGAAGTACGATATGAACTGACGCGACGTGACGAAGGAAAATCAAACTTACACTGTAAACAACACTGTAACGGATATACCTCCCTTTGAAGTTAGAACGTGTCTTCTCAACAAACATATATTTTTTCTCAAACACTGATGAAGTCGCGGAAGTGTTTAACTACAAGATCCACCAATACGATTTAAATACTATTTAAAGGTTCTACCAAAGGAAGAGATACCATATAACATACTAATAATAACTCCGATGACGTACAGGATAGGAAATATTTTAATCATTGAATGAACAACCAAATTTGGCAACTAACGCAATATTGTTAAATTGTTTTTACACTTATTACTCTTTGAACAATGTTAAATGCTCAAAATATGTATATTTCACCCAATTCATCGCAGTTAGATGAATTAACGTAAGCCTTGAAAGTAACCGTCGATTTCGACGGGTTTCCCCTAGTAATTATAAAATGCTTATTGCAGTTATACTCGAGCTTTGCATTTCTAATGGGGGAGGACACAGTTTGATAAAATTTGCTTCTTTATATTTATGGTATACAATAGTATTACACATTTACCATAGCTATAATGTTCTACCACTTCACCTAAACAATAAAGAAATATAAATCTTTAAAAATGCGAATAAATATCACAAATTTTCATGAAATTAATAACATAAACATAACTGTAAACAATCCTGATTTGACAGTTCTCATTGTGTATCACAGTTTTTTGTTGCTGCTTAGTTCAAATTAGTTGTTTTCATAAATACAAAAAAAATATAGTGCTGCACCCTGTTGGTAAATCTTGTAACTTTTTCATTCTTTTGCATATCATAGAACCAACTTTTTTTGTTGAAACAGCTGACTAAATTCATTAATTCCCTTTAAATATGAATACGCATAAGGTTAACATGGGGAACTGCAGAGGGTATTTACTCAGGGGAGGTATAGAAGAGGCTACGATGACAGCTGAGGGCTTCTTATTAGCTGAGGAATCGCCATTACCGTAACAAAACGTTCGCTAGCCGTCGGCCTCGGTGGTCTAGTGGTTAGCGTGCCGGGCTGATATACTGTAGGTCCCGGGTTCGTATCGGAATCTTCAAACAAACACACAAACTTTCACACTTATTGAGCGGAGCGAGCGGAGCTCTTTGGGATTAACTTCAATGCAACAAATAAAGAAACATCACTCAATAACGGCTGAACGCATTTCAGACAAACTTAACAAAATTACTTAGACTAATAGTAAGATGGTTTTTAAACAAACAAATTTCAATTAGATAATACTAATACAATTTAAAACGAACTTAAAATTTCCAATTTTTAACATTAGGCTTATGGGACTAAAGTACCCATGATAGTTTTTTTGTTTACAAGAAAAATGTAAATAAGAGAATCATAAGGTATTTCTGAACTTTCTAGACTTTTCTTTTATACGTCTTTAAACCATTCCTATGATCTTAATAAACAATACCGTTAAAACATTTTTTAAGGCGCGGAATCCACTGCAAATTGCGAAAATATACATAATTACTTTCTCAATACGCGGAGCATATCGCAGTGACAACTTACTCCTGGGCACCTATTTGTGTTGCCAGCTAATTAGAAACGGCCAATGTTAGAAATCAGGATTTAATAAGCGATATATTGAACCGCATCGAAATCGATATTTAATCCGATAATACCTCACAGGTTATATTATGTTGAATTACATCGACGGTACAGTAAATTATCACACTTATTAATAAAACACAGATTGAATACTGATATAATTTAGGCACGTGGGGAAGGTAGGTCGGGGTAAATGAGTATTCGAGAAGCCTACATTTTAGCCATCTTATTTTATTGTTCACTAAGAGTCTTTTTGTAGTTTTTATGTTTTTACACATTGAAATACATGATTAATAATTCAGTTCATTTTAGTCTTTTAAAGGTGTTTTACATTATTGAGCCTAGCATTAAAATAACCATACATTTTTCGTAGGCCTATGTTTTATCTTTGACTATCAATACAACTAGACATTCCATCCCCATGTTATAATTTGTAGCTAGCTTTTTCATCAAAATCTTCTGTATCCAATGGTCAATAGTTTTATTAAGGCCAGTATTAAAATGTTGTCTCTAAATCGTCCCAATAATGGTAGAAGACCTACATTCCAGTTACATTACAATCATATCCTCCATCAAGAATACTTTTTACTGTATTAACAATCATAAATTATTTCCAGCAAAGAAAACTGAGTTTAACCGATTGCAAGGGTTGAAATGAAGACCAATGTTGCACAGTTGAATTTAAATGTCAAATTTCCCCTCCTGAAGTTATACCTTTAACCTCAATTTTTAAATAGTTACTGTTTTTTTATATGCTTAAATACTTTAACCGATTGTAAGGGTGAAAAATGAAGTCCAATGTTTTTGTTGTAGGCTACAGTTGAATTTGAATGTCAAATTTCATTTCTCTTTTTTATACTTTAATGCCCTTTTTGGGTGTTAATATCAGATTCCAACTACTGTAACATTTCCCTGGTCAAAACTACCATAATGCACTTCTGGAAGAGGTATCTGAATAACAAGATGGAGTAAAAACAAATTTGAATTATTATAATTTTAATCAATAAAACAAGCATTTGTACATCTATTGACTTTTTTACATTTAGTTACTTATACAAATATCAAATCACGTTTGTTCCGCTCAACTGGCTTTCACCTCTCTGAAAGCAACCCTAGTAATATTAGTAAGATACGTCAGCTGTAACAATTGTTTTGACTATAACCAGTGGGGGTTCTAGGGGATGGGTGGGCGGCTATAGTGGCTAAACCCCCCATTGAAACCTGGAAAAAATTCAACTCACATTTTGTCCTACAAACTTAAGGAAGGATTTTGGAAACATTTCTATATGTTTAAAATTGCTGCAGAAAGTCTTTCAACGGCTTTAAAAATAGGTAGACATTTTTTTATACTCCCAGACCCTCCTTCTTTCTAAACTCCTGGGCTCCCAGGCCCATTACCCCCCCCCCCCCCTTTGACAAGGACCTAGAACCGCCACTGTTTATATTAACTGTCTGTTTACTTTTGACCGGTAAGATTTTCTTTGTTTACATTACCTTAAAGTGTTTTTAATTTTGATTCTGCCAAACAACTAATTAAAAATACATATAGGCCTACACCTAAAATATCTTTATTGAAATGAACAATAGGTGGGAGTATAACTGTCTTGTACAGTACATTTGAAGAACCAAATTATTCTCTCCTGTATTATCAATCCATTGCAAAACATAGGCAGAGCAATTATTTAGTATAAAACTACAATTATCTTTCTTAAAAATGTAACACATTCATTACATGAATTACCAGGATGCGGCCTCATGTCTGCCAATTGAGCGGAAGCAACGATGTAAACAAATAACCTTCTTTAAAAATAAAAATGTTATTAAAAATAGGGAGATTACATCATAAAAACAAAACTAAATTTTATTGATCAATACAAAACCCTATTGTTTTAACCTGTCTTTATAAGCCATTTTCTTGAGTCTTTCCATCTCTTTTTTATTTCCTTGCCATTTACTGGTCTTATGTATAAGTTTGACTCTGTGTATAGAAAATGGCTCAATCAGCAAGCTATCGATGGTTCTATCTCTTGACAATCCTACATGAGTAAAAAAATCTGTCTTTCCTAGGTCCACCACAGCCTGAAGTAAAGTACACTCTTGACTGTGATATACCTAAATCGCAAAGGCAAGATTTATTGAAAACTGCCCTGTACAGGCCTAGGAAATCACTGTATTTATATATAAGATATGCTACTGTTTTTAACATTTGAAATTTAAATTACATAATTCCTGCTTCAGAAATGCTCTATTTACAGACTTTCTTTTACTGTAAATAAACCAATATTTGCTAGAAAACTAATAGAAAGAAAACATACATTTAAGAAAAACATATTTATCTACCTCTTTACCAAAGACAAAACTTCTCTGACCAACAACACACAATCTTAGTAGTAATTTTTTTTTTTATTTTAAAAGAGGTTGGCGGCCTCTTTTAACCTTGCATTTGCCCGTCCACATAGACTACAGATTTGTGCGTGGAACGTATCCAGCAAAGCAAGGCGTGAGCCGGTACAGTACAAAGGTGAACTGTACTGATAAAAGTTAGTGGCAGTGACCAGGATCCGAACCCACGGACACTACTGCCTTGGGCCCGAAGTCCGCGACGCTACCGACTGAGCCACCGACTCACCTCATCTGACCATCTCAATTGACTAACTTATTCATGTTTTGTTTCCAGTTTTCATCCAAAATGTATTAACTTTAACAAATATTAATAAACATAACTAACCATAATCTCTACCAATTTTCAAAATTTGATCTCAATTGTAAGGCTGTCAAAATACAGAGTAAATTTATAACGTCTAATTTCTGCCAATTACGAGGCGTACATCATTCTTGCATAGCTTCTAGGACAAACCAAAGATTGGCGACAACATTATTTGAACACATAATAGGTTACGTACCTTGTTCTTTTTTAGTCTTAACTTGTCTATGGATGACTAGTTTGGGGTACAAAGACCTTTTATCAAATCCTTATTTAAAACATCATATGGTCAAATATCCGACATAAGTCTTCATCAATGTATACATGCAGGTCGACGACACATAAAGTTAACACATTTAAAAACAAAAGTTACAAATACATTTATGATAGGCCGGCCACATTGAATACGGGACAAACCAACGCAGGTTACACAGCGGACACGACAGAACTATCCATTGTCCAGTTGGTGACATTGACCTTGGGGGAGGGGGTACGTCAGCTGATAAAGACTTGTAGTACATTATTTGTATCACTTGTTTAATTTTCATGCCCGTTTTATCAAATTAAGTTAAGTTACTATTCTGATTTCGCTAGTTAAAAAACCTGATTAAAATTGTTAGTTTTAATTTCTATTTGCATGGATCAATATTATTTATTATGTTCATAAAACTTTTAGTCAACATCAACGCATTCTTAAAATCCAGACAGTAAATATGTTTACGGTGACCCGGGTCATTAAATATGACCCGGGATCGATTTACTGTTTCCTTTTGAGGTCCCCAGAGGCAAAAAACACCATCCGTTCAAATTAATATATTTTTATATGTGTCCCTTAGCACTATAACTCGAGCAAAAATTATCTGATTTGATGAAATGTGAAACTCGCAACCACGCCATGAAAATTAGTGTCTTGTATGGCCATACTGTGTTATTCATTCGTAAATATGTTTGTGCTTGTATCGTGTATTTTTTAAAGACTTTATGACGACCTCCTAGCAGCAACAACACGTCTTTAAGGCTTGACAATGACACCATGAGTGTCGAAACCGGTCGCCATCCAAACGACAGAGGATTACAGTGGCAACAATAAGGTATATTTTCCTCTAGAATAATGCCAAAACTGTTTAGGTACTATAATCCTAATCACTTTATAGCTCTGGAGATTCTAGTATATAGGTAGTACTTTTGAATGTGTTTGGGAAGATAATCAAATACGATAATAGCAACAAACTTTTTGTAGGACATCCGGTATTCAGGGCCGGATTTAGCATTTTTGCGCCCCTAGGCCCAAAACAATTTTCCGCCCCCTAGTCTGGTCACAGTTACTTTCTTTCAAACCTTTATTAAAAACTATATCACTTAAGTTAATTGCTTGAATATCACTCTTCGTCGGAATCGTTGCATTGCAAGTTTTTTTTTTAGAATTGACTTGTTTAGCATTAACAAAATGTCGTCTTAAACACTTTTAGCAAATTTATGCCTTTACTAAATGCTCACATTTGTGGCCGTATGGCCGCCGTGGGACTCAACTGAAACAAAACAACTCAACTCACTGAGCATTCATGCAAAAAAAAAACATGGCCATTGATTCCAATTCAGGGTCAAAAACATTAACTCCATACAGTACGTGATACCATAGATATAGATTATACATACTCCTTTAGTAGATTTGTCATCGTTTTGGATTAGCCTAGCTGAAAACAATTCTTTTTATTTAAGGAGTATGTTTTATCTATATTTAAACCTAGTTTATCCAAAATAAAACAATCTAATCATTAAAAATAGGTCGTCTCCTGTTTATATTAAAAGAAATTAAAACCCACATCATAGAACTAACCCTAAAATAATAGAAACAAAATTACGTGATAACTAACATCAAGTGTCACCAACATAAACTAGACATTGACAAATTTTGAATTAACAATGTCATGAGAAGTCGACTTGAGTGAGTTACATTTAACCTATGGTTGTACTGCATCTAGGCTTTGACTATTCAATGATCTAGGTTATATTTCCAAAGCAAAACAGAGCAATATTCCGGCCAACAATACCGAACCTTAGGTCTGAGGAGAAAATTACAGCATTAATGGTGCTTTGAAGGGTATTGCATTTTTCTAAAATCTAATGCAAACTGAAATTAATATTTTTTCGTAAATTTTAAAGGTAAATTCATCGTTGTTTTGATATTCAACACAACCTATTATATATTTTTATTACTTAATAGATTTTGTTTTGTGAAGTGAGGGTGGTAACAATGTCTACCACGCATGCGCCCCTAATCACTCTGATCAGATAGTACCGAGCCCGAGCCAGCATACTGCATAGTGGCAATGCAGTGGCAATACGATGCGTACCGCTAGGGCGCTCGTCAACGTCAACATCCCTACAGCCTACTCCCGTATAACCGGTGTTCGCTCACAATTTTGTAACGAAATTGATGCGTAGTTCTGGAAAATAGTTTAAGTTTCCTAACAATTATTTCTTCTTATGAACCTCAGAATCACAACGCTTAAACAGGCAGTTTTTTTTATCAACTAAGACTATTTATTTTCATTTTTAGATATTAAAAAAATCCTCTCGGTCGTGCGCCCTCTGGGACCTTGCGCCCATAGGCCCGGGCCTACCGGGCCTATTGGGAAATCCGGCCCTGCCGGTATTCAAGTTGTGTTCTAGACACAAAATTCTGAATTATTTTAATACAAGTTTATGGTGGACAAACACCTAAAATTAGAAAAGGTAAGAATCACAAAATTTATGATTTTGGAATGTGACACACAAAGGATCTATGCATCCTGTCAACTTCAATAATCATTTTAGCTGGACCTCTCACACCAAACTCCCATGAGTTGCAGACGAGACCTGACCATTTGACGGAATTTGAACCCTCATTCTCTGGGGCCCTGGGGCTGTCTCCTGATTGGATCTGGGAAAAACCCCTCAGACTGCTCGATTAGTGATCATTACCTTTAAACAGTCTTAACAAAAAATCACTTTGGTTTGACAAGATTTATCCAAAGCGTAATACCTTTGTAATACTTTACGATAGTCCTATACTGGACTCCTAAATTGCAGCTCATTTCAAGTAAATAGCTGTAAACTAATATCGTTGAGTTATACTGTATAACTCAACTGTATTGAGTATAACCATTGTAGGCTTAACAATGGTTATACTCAAAAAGATACAGTACAGTAGTTGTAAGTGTAAGATTGGTTATGTTACTCCCTTGTCTAAATTACAGCCTTTGTAGCTCAAATAGCAAAATATGGTAATATGTTAGCAATAAAATATATTCTTACCAACTTCAACAACATGGTGCTCGTCGGTCTGGGGCCTATAGCTATGGATGGAATGTTTAAAAATGTCAACGTAGAAAAGAGTCTGATTCTCTTCATCCCAATAAGGTCCTTCTCCAAGGTCAAGAGCTGGGCCGATTGGAGTGACAGTAGGAGCCATCTAATACAAGTTATTTATATATTAAAAGGAATTCAAAACTTAATATATTGTAAGAGTGTAACTACAGGCTGATATTGATGTAAAACTAAAACCTGCTTTTCAAAATGAACAAGTAGGCTTAATAAGTTAAGTTAACATTTATCTATCAATACCGTTGACAATTGAATACTGAAGTTGACATCAGTTTTTCCACACAACCAAAAAGATATACCCGCTCACTGGGTCCAGAAATCCCGTTTTATCCCGCAAGATTTTCGTTCAATTATGAGTGTTATATCGTGTTTAAATATAGTAGTTTAAACATTGCTATCATATTTTGCTACAGTAATTTTAATAATTTTAGGTAGTTAATCGCTAAAATAAAGCATTAAAAATAAAAACGTCTTAGCCAAAAATCCCGTTTTAGCCAGCATCTCGTTTTCCGGGAATAGCTCATGCTCTAAAAATCTTGTTTTCTGGATAATAATCCAGTGTATGGAAACACTGGTTGCGACCCATTAAATAACATTGAATTAAATGTTATGTAGACCAGCTGTCGCAAAATCTTTTTGGAAATTATTGCGACTAGGATGACCAAAAAAAAGAGTACCATAGTAATTTATATAGGCTATCATTAGAAACTAGATTTTTACCTGAAAACAATGATGCAAAGATTTTTCTGCTGTCACAAAAACTGAATAAAATACGATCGTTTTAATTTTTTTGTTTTTTTTTTTACTGGTAATGCCTCTTGTTTGCTGGTTTCTGTCGCCATTACTATGAATTGACTAAATACAAACAAGAACGATTGAAAGGATTGTCTAGGGAAGAAGAAGAAACCTAAAGATGACAAACATTAAGTTTATGCAAAGGTAGGTAGGTTGGTTAGTTATGCGGATTCGTGACTGTATTAAGTCCTTTGAAGGTAGGTTAGATTAGGGAAGTTTAAGTTTAGGTTAGGCCTATAATAAATCCAGTTGTTGATTTATGTCATCTCCAGACTGTTTTTGCACTGTATAAAAAGTGTAAAACAGTCCCATAATCTGGAGAAAACATAAATCAACAACTTGATTCATACCTCGCGATTGAGATACCTCGTATGCTCTTGCCCCATTTAACTTATGCTCTTACCCCACCTCACCCTAGGACTAGCCTACTTGAATTAACTTATCTAAGTGCTTACTTGTCTAAGTGCGGGTTTTGAGGGTAATAAGTTATTTGCTTTAAAATGGCATATAATCAATCAATAAACGTGACTTGGGCTATCAACTTTGATTTTACAGTGTAACTTTAGCACTGAAGTGCAAATCCACCCGCGGTAAAAATCTAGTTTCTAATGATATACAAATTACTATGGTAGTGTAGCCCATTAAACAAGAACTCAGGTTAATTGGTGAACAAGACAACATAAACAAGGCCAAACAAATTAGAATTAGGTAGGTGTACCAATAGAAAGGTTCAGGCTTCAACTATTTTAGACAGACAGTAAAAATGTTCTGGCTGCCATAATAAACAACTACGGAGGAGGGAAATAGCCACACCTATGAATAAAAACTAGAAACTACTTACCTACGTTAAATTAAAATTATTAATAGGACCTAATGCTTTTGATAACGAATCACTTATTTTCTTAATTTCTAGTGAGTGAGTAAGAGAGAAGAGAGAATCAGTCTCACTATCAGTCAGCGATCAGTACTAGCACTAGCAGACAACAGAGAACAGACAGCACTGACAGCTGACAGCGAACGATCGTGACAGCGACAGCAGACAATGCCGCAGGGCACAGACGACTAGACTAGAGTAGAGTAGAGAGACGAGAGAGCAGAGGAGATATTGACACCACTAGAGCGGAGGCTGGTCTGTACCCCCCCTCCCCCCCCCCCCCGTGGGAATTTTTGAAATATACATTTTTATTTTTGTGTTCGTATTGACATGTACTTTAAGGATTTAGGTGTTTGCCACTTGTGAATTACAGCATGTTCCGGAAAACACAGAAATATCATGAATATATATATATTTGTTTAATGGCTTTTCTTTAGCGAGTTCGTTTGGCTCTTCAACCCGACCGATTTTCATGACTGAGGTCTCAAATTGAAGGTATTAACGCACAGATTTCACATCAAGCATCGGCATATAGTTGCCTACAGTCCCACTCGGCTTATACGTAAACAAAATTTTTTCCCATGTATTTCTTATGGGAGTTAAATTTGGTTTTTCTTTTCCGAGTTCGTTTGGCGCTTCTACCCACCCGATTTTCATTATTGAGGTCTCAAATTGAAGGTATGCACGCACAGATTTCACATCAAGCATCAGTATATATTTATCGACAGTCCCACTCGGCTTATACGTAAATTAAATTTACCCCTCATGTATTTCTAAAGGGAGTTAATTATTTCCGAGTTTCTTTGGCTCTTCTACACGTCCGATCTTCATGATTGAGGTCTTAAATTGGTAGTATGCACACATATATTTCACATCAAGCATCATTGTATATTTATCTACTTTATTACTCGACCAAAAAACATAGGTTTGATATATATTTTTTCATTCGTATTTCAATTTAAATTGTACAGTATTTTACCATTTATAATTATATAACCCTATATATTTTGGTCTAAGAATCTTCAGTGAAATACCGGCTTGCATTTAAGATATTAGTTATTCAAATCGGACGGTTTTCAAGCAAACGCAAGGTGAACATCCAACATAAAAAAATTTGTAAGGTTTTTCGATGATTGAATATCAATAGCTCCAGTATTGTTTACGTTTTTTATATGTTTTAGACTCAAAAAAATCAGTCAGTTATAGGCTTTAATTTGAGCTATTGATTGTTTGAATCAGTCGTTTAAGATACTGTATTACAATCAAAAATAATAAATTTTATTATTTCTTGGATATGATATTTATTTTAACGCCGAAGTGCAGCATAGGTCCTTTAGTATAGATTTTTTAGTTTGATTTGATTTGATTAGTTGATTCCTGTGCGTAGGACGCGCCCACAGCAAGTTAGAATTTTAAAATGCAAGTATGGTGTAAACATCAGATTGTTCTCAGTGACATGCAAGCAAATGAAATGAAACGAAGTGAGCAAAGTATTTTGCAAGTACTGTACTTGATGCTTTTGAATAATGCATTATTCTGCTTGAAGTTGAAAACCGTGATAAGAATTCCTAGATGGTCTGTTTATCAGCTGGAACACCTGTACCCGAATCGGTGGAAGACAATTTACTCAATGTAGATAATCTAGGGAAAGCTGCATGCAGATTAGTTGAGGTAAGAGCAATAAGAAATATTTTTCTGGAGTTTTACTGCTGTCCCAGGAACGTGATATTAACCTTGAGAAGCTGATGACATAGCCATTAGATCCAGTACCATGGACATCAGCCACTTTCGATGGATGCCCAACAAAAACAGAAAAGGCCAAACTGCTCCATGCATTGGAGAACAAGGGTATATAGTAGACGAACCTCCCAAGATTGAAGAATGTATGTATGTAATTGACGGTATGGCTTACTTTTAGGTTCTTACTAATATTCCAGAAACCTCTGGTGAACTAGCACAGATTGCCTTCAGCCGTTTTCCGAAACTCAGCAGGATTTACTTTATTGCGGATACCTATTTAGATGTAACTATTAAAAACATTGAAAGAGAGAAGAGGATTCGGAGAAACATTCTTAATGAGATGTCCAAAATCAAGATCCACGGGATTGGAAAAAAATCCTAGCTAATAGTAAAAATAAGAACAACGGGTTAAACTGATAAATAATGAATGGTCTCAGCACAAATATTCATAAATTCAAACAAGCTTCAATACACGTTTCTAGGGCAATGTAAGGTTGTTGTTGGTGATATTTTGAAATTCACCCCCCACCCACAAACAGGGTTGAATTTATTTTTTAAATGGCAACCCATATCAATCGGCACAGTATTTTAAAGAGATTTAAAAAAATAAAATTATTGCCGCAAATCCAATTTTGATACGAGGAAAACGAAGTTTTAGACGTTAATTTTACTGGAACCTTACATTCCAGTAAAATTTACGTCTAAAATGTTTCAATAAAATTTATTTAATTTAATTAGAATCTCTTAAAATCGCTTTCCTAGAGGTACTCTTTAAATCTAATGTTATTTAAATAGATTTAATTAAAAATCAATTCAGGCCAATTTGAAATCCGCATTGCCTGCAGGTTTGCTGCAGCGGGGGTATTTTTTTTTTACTTTTTTTTTCATTTGAAGCCTTTGAATACATACTGAAGAAGTCCATAAAGAATATTGCACCAGTAATTAACGCAGGCTACCCTTTTGTAATTTAAACTAAAACAATTTTTTTATTTAATGGTTTTTCTTTATTTTTCGGAATACGCTGTAATTTAAAAGAAGCAAACAACTGAATTCTTAATCTGGTAGGTAATACCAACAAAAAAAAGTATAAGTCATAAATTCCCACGGGGGGGGAGGGTTTCATATTGGTGGCTCATGGTCTACACTGACAGTGACAAAGACAATGACTTTGCGCTTGCGCAAGACCCCACTACACTATAAAAACAAGTAAAGTGTAGTGTAGTGGGGTCTTGGGTTACGGGGCGGGTCGCTGAATTTTTATTTCAGGATTAGTGTTGCCTACAGTATTATTTTGAGGCTTCTGATGGGCTGAGGGAACATCTTTACCGCAACGATACGGTTGATGTCAACGGCCTCGGCGGTGTAGTGGATAGAGTGTTGGGGTTGGGGTGATGATCCGAAAGTCCCGGATTCGAATCCCACCCGTGCACTATTTTTTTATTGGATTTTTTTCATTAACTACAAGTTTGGTTGGTTTGGTTAGGTTATGACGGTTTAATTTTATAACTAGTGTACATGTTGCTCGAAATCGAGCAATCGCAAAGAAGTAAAGGAGTTATTTAAAAACAAATAACTTATTTAAGAACAAATATAAGTCATAAATTCTTATGAGTTTAAATAAAAGAGTCAACTCAAAGATTACGAGTAACTAATGATAATACTCACAATGTACTTCACAGTTCAATATAATCAACATTTCTTGTAAATATTTTATCCTTTTCAAAAGCTGATCTGGCTTTTAGTGTATTGAACAAATGTTTCCCACTTATAGCCGCAATAGGTTGTTCTTGTTGGTCTTTGTCAATGATAATATAGTCTGCATGGTATCACCCATTTTCGCCAACGTTTAAAAATTTCAGTCTTTATTTTAATAGCACCAAATAACCATTAACTACCTGATTTTCTGCATAACGTCGCTGTCACAATTTTACAATTAACATATGTTCTTCTTCTCACTTTTAATTTCTAACAACAGCTGGAGTTTCAAAACAATGTTTGTTTCCCATGTTAATCTTATGGAGAAATACGAAACCTAAAAGGGCCCCAGGGCCTCACTCTCTAATTATTTCCCTAAAAAGAAAATTTCCTGCACAACTTCACGTTACGCTCTTTCATAGACTTACCAACACAAGTAGACTTCTCATCCCATTGTAAATTTTGAAGCACGTTTTTCGTGTCTAGTTCATGTACGTGACACAAAGGCGCTAGTGTCGATGAAACTTTGTTTCTATTATTTTAGGGTTAATTTCTTGATTTGTGCTTTACTGTTTGGTTATATAACTAGGGGACAAGTTATTGTTTATGATTAGATCGTATTATTTGGTTAAACGAGGTTTTAAATGGCTGTAATAACGGGAAACAAATTGTAAACAAAACACGACCTCTACATAAACCGTACATGAACTAACAATAAAATTGTCTTCAGCTGTTCCATAAGGATGAGAAATCTACTAAGGGAGTATGTTTTATCTATGGCTCTTTCCAATGACACCAAAAACATGTCAATCGGTTCAGTAGTTTCGGAGGAGTAATTGTCACAAAAAACCTGCTTGCGTATTAAATAAGTAAAATAGACAAGTGCACATGTTGCTCGAATTCGAGCAATTATAAAGAAGTACAGGAGCTTTTTATAAACAAATAACTTGTTTAAAAACTAATAACAGTCATAATTTCTGTTGACTATAAAAGAGTGAACTAAAAGATTATTAACTAAAGGAAATATTCACAATTTACATGACAGTCCTATTCCAGTTTAAAGGGTTAATTTTTAACAATCAATCTGCCCATATACGGGAAAAGGTAAGCTTACAATTTAAGTCAACGTAAAAAGGCTGTCAGCTTTTATAAAGTACCGTACCTAAGTTGTTTAGCCAATATGTAGACAATAAGGTGTAGGCTACTTTAAACTCTACAGGATAGAGTTAGGCAAAAACTGGCAGAACTCTGAAATGGTGTTATTTATCATAGGCTTACTCATATGCCAAATCCTTAGAATAAAAATGCAATAACTAATAACCGATATCATTTAACACAAACCAACATCCAAAACTAAACACATTTTTTTTAATACAACATAGATAATTTACACATTGACTGTTTTACATATGTTCTTCTTCTCATTATTAATTTTTGCTTCGCAACGGGAAAAATATGTTTCATAATCATTGAAATAGATTTATAATAAATAATCTATAATAAAGTTTAAGATTAAATAAACCTACCACATAGTTGTTTTACATGGTGGAAGGAAATAGTATATTACGTTACTAGTCCTGAAAATAAGTGTTTACCGGACGAGTGTGGTCGTTCCCGTGCGAGACGAAGTCGAGTACGG